CATGGAGTTCAAAAACCGTTTGATTAGCTGTTTTTGAGGTCACTATGTACACATTTATTTACTGACTTTCACTGCATTTTTTAAAAGTATTTTATACATTGCATCGTTTGCACACTCAACTAACCTATTTTTTAGCAGTTTTTAGCTCATCTGAATATGTTTCACTGATTTTTAAAATCCAGTCTAGAGGCAGACGTCATTTTTTTTACATGTCATATAGTCGGTAGCTAGCTTATCGATTTTCAAAATAAAAGAAAATGATATTTTGTACATTTAACATGGTGGTAAGATAAACACGTAAACTTCTCCCTCGGGTAATTAGGTCTGATGTCGCGCATCTTTGTAACAATGTTAACTCTAGCATACTGGCTCGGATGACACGGCTACAAAGAGGTACATCAGACCGTATTACCGAGGGAGAAGCATACACCTTATAATGGTATGTCAATTGACTTATACTATTAAAGAAAACACATTTGATTTTTGGGCTGTAAACTACTTGTTTACAGCCCATTATGTTTCATTTTGCTATTGCTATAATTGAAAATCTGCTTAGGCCAGACCAGTTTTATTTCTTGTTTCACGGATCTGCGGTCATATTTTTCAAGAGTAAAGAAAATTAATTTTCCTGCTCAAAAAATAAAATCCTAATGTCTTTATTGGCCAAAAATGTAAACTTACAAAAAAAACCATTTCTGATTGTTTTTAGCCCCATATACACTTCATAAATTGTCAAAAGTAAAACACTTTTAGTGTTTAAAAGGAATATTACGTCGACTGGCGATTTTATTTATTTATTTTTCCCTCCTGCCTTTAGGTTTTCTGAGGACAAAAATCTGTAAAACAAGAAATAACATTTGTCTGGCCTTAGATTAATATGTATATATAATTATTAACTTTAGCACACAGCAAATGTGTGCACATGTTATTCTGCAACAATAAAGTTCTGTTAGGTATCAGATTTCATCAAGCGACCTTTTAGGCAACTAAACTGCATACAATACAACAATTACTACTCCCTTGTCATCCCGCGTTTGTGGTGGTCTGGACCTACACCTGTTTTCTTGTCATCATTCACTTGATGCTCATGCTGTTGATCACTGGATTGTCTGGTCCAGACCTGATTATTTTCAGACCGCCGCCATATAGCTGGAATATTGCTGTGTGCAGCGTAAAACTAAACTCACTCACTCACTCATCCATGTTTGTGGTGGTCTGGACCTACATCTGTTTTCTTGTCATCATTCACTTGATGCTCAGTTAATGAATTTATAACAGGTACAATTAGCAGTAACTCCACTCAGATGACCTGACATTTCCCATTTGGCGTTTCTTGCATCTGATTTAATTATTCAAAATAAAAGTTGTCCGATGTAGCAAATGTGTTACATGTTATGTAATATGCATGTGGAAGCACACAGGGTCATCAGTCGATTGTGGAGCCGCCTCGTGCAGATGTTGGTGGTATCATCAGTTAAGTTTGATTAGCTGTTTTGAGGTCACTATGTACACATTTATTTACTGACTTTCACTGCATTTTTTAAAAGTATTTTATACATTGCATCGTTTGCACACTCAACTAACCTTTTTTTTTAGCAGTTTTAGCTCATCTGAATATGTTTCACTTATTTTTAAAATCCAGTCTAGAGGCAGACGTCATTTTTTTTACATGTCATATAGTCGGTAGCTAGCTCATCGATTTTCAAAATAAAAGAAAATGATATTTTGTACATTTAACATGGTGGTAAGATAAACACGTAAACTTCTCCCTCGGGTAATTCGGTCTGATGTACGCATCTTTGTAACAATGTTAACTCTCGCATACTGGCTCGGGTGACACTGCTACAAAGAGGCGTACATCAGACCGTATTACCCGAGGGAGAAGCATACACCTTATAATGGTATGTCAATTGACTTATACTATTAAGAAAACACATTTGATTTTTTTAGGCTGTAAACTACTTGTTTACAGCCCATTAACCCCATTTTGCTATTGCTATAATTGAAAATCTGCTTAGGCCAGACCAGTTTTATTTCTTGTTTTACGGATCTGCCGGTCATATTTTTTCAAGAGTAAGAAAATTAATTTTCCCTGCTCAAAAAATAAAATCCTAATGTCTTTATTGGCCAAAAATGTAAACTTACAAAAAAAACCATTTCTGATTGTTTTTAGCCCCATATACACTTCATAAATTGTCAAAAGTAAAACACTTTTAGTGTTTAAAAGGAATATTACTTCGACTGGCGATTTTATTTATTTATTTTTCCCTCCTGCCTTTAGGTTTTCTGAGGACAAAAATCTGTAAAACAAGAAATAACATTTGTCTGGCCTTAGATTAATATGTATATATAATTATTAACTTTAGCACACAGCAAATGTGTGCACATGTTATTTCTGCAACAATAAAGTTCTGTTCATATCAGATTTCATCAACGACCTTTTAGGCAACTAAACTGCATACAATACAACAATTACTACTCCCTTGTCATCCACGTTTGTTGTGGTCTGGACCTACACCTGTTTTCTTGTCATCATTCACTTGATGCTCATGCTGTTGATCACTGGATTGTCTGGTCCAGACCTGATTATTTTCAGACCGCCGCCATATAGCTGGAATATTGCTGTGTGCAGCGTAAAACTAAACTCACTCACTCACTCATCCATGTTTGTGGTGGTCTGGACCTACATCTGTTTTCTTGTCATCATTCACTTGATGCTCAGTTAATGAATTTATAACAGGTACAATTAGCAGTAACTCCACTCAGATGACCTGACATTTCCCATTTGGCGTTTCTTGCATCTGATTTAATTATTCAAAAATAAAAGTTGTCCGATGTAGCAAATGTGTTACATGTTATGTAATATGCATGTGGAAGCACAGGGTCATCGAGGGGAGTCGGTGTGGAGCCACCTCGTGCAGATGTTGGTGGTATCATCAGTTAAGTTAAAAAACAATACAGGTGAAACTGTAATATGTCGATTGATTAATCACTGCTGTCATACATATTGGACTTGCTGAAAATTAAGTTTATGTATGCATGTTTACTTACTCAGATGGAATATCTGAGGGAAACAAATAAAGGGACACCACTTCGTGGCAGTGATCCTGTATTTATTCTCAGATTTCCTTCCACAGCGCTATTCAATGCTGGAGATGAAAACTGGAAAACATAAAGGGAACGCTTGAATTTTCCAGTAATCCTTTATTTGTTTCTCTCAGTATATTATAATAAGTCATCTTCTATAGCGTAAACACCAAGCGATTGCTTGCGGTGCTTGTTGTAAAGTACTTGTGTTAAAACATCTTTTGTTCAAGAATTAACTGATAATGCTTTGATTGATTGTTCATTGTCTGAAACAGTGAATGTTTTTGTAAAGAGCCGTGGACATCATGATAATATCTTGTCTGACCAATGTAACTTTACACTAATGTGAGGCACCTGAAACACAGTTATGTCACCAGTTTAGAAACTATCACAAGTTATAATATTCCCAAATATAATATAGATTTTACAATATTACATTGCTAAAAGACACGTGACATGGAACAGCTGCAGCTGGGTGGAGTATTGTTCCTTTATGTATATATTGATGGATACATTCCTCAACACGGTTCTGCATCATATTATTGACGTAAGTTTGTCAGTTATAATTTACAATATTTGCATTTTTTTTCATACATTTGTTGTGGCATTGAACAGAATCATTCCACTTCAGTTACATTATGGTTGGGAAAATTTCTTGGAAGACAGACAATACTAAATCATCCTTTTAAAAAGTCTTTTCATTTAACCCATTTTCTAACTTGATATATATCTTATCTTACTTTCATGTAAAATACTTTAATTTCATTGGTCAAAGACACTTTTTTTTTTCTTTTTTAACAAGACAGTGACAACTGGAAAATATATTACCCGCTGCCATGGTAACCACCAAACTCCGCCGAGAAGCTGTATCGCTAACAACCGTATGACGTCATAATATGACGCATGGAATTTCTTTGATGAAGACAGACAATACTAAATCATCCTTTTAAAAAGTCTTTTCATTGTGGTGCTGTTAGTGTCAAATAACACTCACTTAGGCAATTTATGTACATTCACTGAAAAAACAGATTGACTGAAATATTTTTATGAAGTTCCAAACTGCATGAAAATGTAATAATAGAGTAAGTTATGCAAGGTTTATAAGCCAAAAATGTAAAGACAGAATGTCATACTGACTTGCATTTCTTTCAATCCTAACACTTTTAATCAACTGGAGATGACATTAAACTTCAAAATGTTTGGAATTGTAGCCATTAAAATACACATGTATATCTCAAATAATAAGGGGTCACTACATTTCCCAATTATTTCTGAGATGGAAACTGTGTGTCATCTTTGTTGATCAACATGAGAAAATAGACCTTATAGCTCTCATGGGCCATGCAACAGCAGTCATGAACCAGTCTCAAATTCTGGGATATCATCCAGATACTCACAAAAAAGCTATAACAAAAACAACAACCTGTCCTGGGGAATTGCTATAGATTAGTGATTAGTGTCCTCTGTAATGATGTTCAACGTCATGTTTCATGTTCTCTAGAGAAATGCGGCTGAGGTACAAACATATCGCTCTGTGTATCATGTTTATGTGTTTGGTCATTTAGATTCATACCCGTGAAGACATGGGTTAGAATTGATGTTCAGTAACCCATGCTTGTCATAAGAGGCGACTAACGGGATCGGGGGGTTGGGTGGTCAGTCTCACTGACTCGGTTGACACATGTCATCATGTCCCAATTGTGTAGAGGGATGCTTATGATGTTGATCACTGGATTGTCAAGTCCAGACTCGATTATTTATAGACTGCCGCCATATAGTTGGAATATTGCTGAGTGTGGCGAAAAAACTAAACTCTCTCCGTCCCCCACTCATTTGGATTCAAGTGACAGTTAAAAGGAAGTAGTAATACTAGTATGCACAACAATAACCTGATTGTTGCATTTTCTCAACAGCTGATCTTTGCCGACACAGCAAATAAGACGTTGTATATCACATATAATGAGCTGAGGAATGTGAAGACAGTGAGCACCCCCTTCGTCCCTGACAGACTGATGCCCCACCCCACCGTGGCTGACTATGTTCTGGGATACACGCTTGCACAGAGGAAGGTGAGTGACCAGTGTGTGCCATGACGCAGAAAACCTGCGTATTTGACATAAATTATCTCATATGCAGTGAATTTAGAAGCTTGCGTCATTGTTGACGCAATGCTTCTGGGCCCTTAGTTCAGATAATCTAAACTTCTAAAACTAAATGTTTGCCAGTTAACTGCTCAGTGCTGATTAAATACCTGACCTTCCTTACCTTGTTTTTTGTCATTATTATACAATCACAGTTGATGTCTTGATGAAAGTTCCAAACTGAAGTTGACTCCTAGACCTAAAAACATATCCATAACTCCCTCTCATGACACCAGCGAGTCATGATGACTCCTAAGTTTGTATGCCTTGGGCAAACACTGAGTGACACGGGTCGAACAGTGTATCTTTGCATAAGTCTGATACAGAACCTACTATTCTACAATACAGTTCCTATCCATCTGATTAATATGGAGATGATGTAGCTATAGTAATTCAAAAGTATGTCTCAGGAGTGATATGCTGCATTGATTATTTTCAAAAGTGTCTTCATCCCCGCTGTGATATTGCTGGAATATTGCTAAAAGCGGCATTAAACCATACTCAGTCAGTCAGTCAGTCAAAAGTGACTTCAAAGAGTAAAAATAGGTTTCAGAGTTAGATTATTTTAAGGAATACAGTATATGATAAAGAGTGAGTATTGTTTTATGCTGCTTGTAGCCAAATTTCAGCAATATCACTGGGGAGGGCATCAGAAATGGGCCTCACACATGGTACCCGCTTGGAGAATCAATCCCAGTATATTCGTATTGCAGGAGAACTCTCGAACAACTAGGCTACCTCCCCTCCCCAGATAAGGAATAGATTATTGTAGCATTCAAGTCATGCATTATATTTTCAACTCAATCAAGGATACAAAATATGTATTATGCTTGGCATATTTTCTTAAATGATAATTAATGATATTGTGTTAAGGAAAAACACATGGCTAAAAGTCTCAATTCATAGGTATTGTTGATACTTTGTCAGTGTTTTATGTTACTCTGAACCTCTTTACAGCTGTATGTGTCAATGGACTTTGGTGAAACCTGGCAAGACATGAAGCAGGAGGGTGTCACTCCACGAGTGTTTTGGTAAGTATTGTGTTCTTGTTGATGTTTACATGTTGCTCATGATATCGACCACTGGTTCCTTTGGCCAGGATTAGTTCATTCACAGGCTGCCGTGTTGTTGTTTGAATGTAACTGAATGTGACACAACATCACTCACTTAGCGTAGACTATTGAGCTATTTCCATGGCCACATGGATCATCACGGATATGGTAGTACAAGTACACTATTAAGTAGCCAGTTCCATGTGTTTGTTTAGTGCAGCATGGTCTGATGTTTGTTTCAGGGCTGATGCCAAGCATGACAAGAATGAGGTGTTTGTGCATATGGAAGTTCAGACCCCCAGTGGTAAGACTATTACATGTATGCTTCATAGCCCAGTTCACACATCTCCCACACTTGAGCAGGGATAGACTGAGTTGGTTCAAGTCCAATTTGAAGAGTATTTCTGTAATATTGTAGATTCTCAGTTTACTGCATCAGAAAATATGTTTGAACTAAAGCACCGTTAGATCGCAGGGAAACTTAATATATGCTTAATGATGGGTACATATTGCAGGTGATTGTGATTTTGATCATAGAACCACAGGCCGTCATGTCTTTGCGAGGATTAAAGATTAAATTAAATTTGGGGGGGGATGACTCCCGACTCAAAATGCTTCACAGCACAATAAATCATGACAAGGCTGGAAACTTCGGTGTACCCCACCCGCCTGTTTTGCCGATCGCTACGCTACCACAGCATGCAATTGCTTAAAATTCAATGTAAACATATTCATGGATGATTGGCCTATCGATCACCACTCATGACACCTACCAATTCTTTAGTGTTATTTCTGCAAGTCGATTGAAAGCTTATTTTGACCCTCAACTAAACGATCTGGTCTCAAATGGTTATTTGTATAACTAGGAATAAATACAAGGCAAGATTGTCCATGTTCAGAATTTAACATGATATTCACACTGAGCACAAAGCTAACAATACTAGCAAACAATACACTTGTTAGAGAAACCAGATTGGGGAAAGTAAGTCATGATTAATAGATTGTTATGTGTTAATTCCTAAGTTGAAACCAAAAAGTTAACTGGGAATCAGTCCATAAACAAACAAGGTTTGAACCTAACAATCAAGGAAATGTGATGTAATTAACAATTCTATTCTTCAATTGACAAAGTTCACAACTCATTCTACCATGACTTCAGTAAACACTGGATTGTGATTGGTTAATTAAAGTCATTCAGAGGTATATAATCACGTTATACAGGTCTCTGTTTTCCGTGCGCAATCATACATGGTTTACGGTAATGCACTATTTTTGTCTGCCCACTAACATGGCGGACACCAAACAACCTACCGATGCATCGATAAATTACGGCGATTTTACTGTCGGAAATTACACATTTGTCTTTAAAGATGGATTTAGCGATGGCGGGCTCGACTCACTACTTTGCGTAAATCACAGCAATAGGTGTTTATACATACAAAAGTACTTGAAAGCATGGAAACAAATATTCAGTCGAACAAGATCAAAACATCGTCTGCTTTCGAATAAAATTCAGCAAAAACAAATATGTTTCACGTTTATTCTATGTTATGTCAGAATAGATCCAGCAATAGACTGCTACATAATTTCCGTGTTAAATTTATTATCAGCTTTCGTAAACGATATCGCCACTGATCTTGATCCCGTAACGGAGGATGCATTAACATCGAAGCGCCCGAAGAAATTTTAATGCCTTCCGTCCACATAAATAAACAGTTGGGTTATCAATTCAAACAAAATGATATTTTGAAATTTGTACTGTTTCAAATTTAGAGGTAGTAAAACACAATAACAGAATCTGCAAACCCGTTCTGTTTAGCCCAACATATTTTTTTCTAAAAGTATATAATATCGTTGAAAAGTTATTTAGCTTAGTCATGATCCTCTTATCCATTACATTGCTTGATCTAAAGTAGTCTATTAAAGTATAATTAATTACCTTACCGTGTTTATGCCAGAGGTACACCCTCATGTCCTGATCCATCCTTTCGGAAATATCACCACAAAAGTCACTACAAAGGTATCTGTATGGCTGTACAAAATAGTGGCAGTATGAAAAATGACAGTATGTGACAAATTCAGAGGTAGGATGATACAAGAGTAGTGATTATGGTGAGTAAGTGGGTTTAGTTTTACGCCACACTCAGCAATATTCCAGCTATATGGCGGCGGTCTGTAAATAATCGAGTCTGTGATTGTACAAGAGATATGGTTTAAGAGTCACGCAAATGCAATTATATGACCAGTACACTTATCAAAACTATTAATATGTAATAAAAAGAAGGAGATACAAATGTTATTAGTATTTTTTAGTACATCACGAAAATTACCGATCATGGTCACGGAAACTGCCGATCGTATTGGGCGAACCGGCTCTCAAAACATATACCGCTATATATCGTATTGTGAAGTTCGAATTGCAATATACTAGTTAACCGGTTTTATCGCCCACCCCTAATGATCACCACACACAATACTAGTCTTCTTGTTCATTGAGGGCGGTGGGGTTAGCCTGGAGGTTAAAGTGTTCGCTCGTCACGCCGAAGACCCGGGTTCGATTCCCCACATGGGTACAATGTGTGAAGCCCATTTCATGTACAGTGTATTACACTTGGAACATAGTTACATAATGAATAACACTGCCATATGACAAAATAATCTCAAAACTTTGTGTCAGTAAAATTACCTTTTTAAACCACTATATTTTGTATGTTTTCAACAGGTTTAGCTCGTTACAAGAAATGCAGCATTGTCAGCAAGTGTGATGCTGTGAAGTTTGAGAGCAGCGTTGGAAGCTTTGATGCATTCAGTATGCTGGTCATCAACGAGTACATCTTTGTACAGGTAGGATACTTGTTCATCAACGAGTACACCTTTGTGCAGGTAGGATGCTTGTCATCAACGAGTACACCTTTGTGCAGGTAACATGCTTGTTCACCAACTGGTACACCTTTGTACAGATTGGGTGCGGGTCATGAACGAGTACACCTTTGTACAGGTAGGATACTTATTCATCAACGAGTACATCTTTGTACAGATAGGATACTTGTTCATCAACGAGTACATCTTTGTGCAGGTAGGATACTTGTTTATCAACGAGTACACCTTTGTACAGGTAGGATACTTGTTCATCAACGAGTACACCTTTGTACAGGTAGGATACTTGTTCATCAAATAGTACACCTTTGTGCAGGTAGGATACTTGTTCATCAGCGAGTACACCTTTGTACAGGTAGGATACTTGTTCATCGAGTACACCTTTGTACATGTAGGATATATTTGTTCATCGAGTACACCTTTGTACAGATAAGATACTTGTTCATCAACGAGTACATCTTTGTGCAGGTAGGATACTTGTTCATCAACGAGTACACCTTTGTACAGGTAGGATACTTGTTCATCAACAAGTACATCTTTGTGCAGGTTGGATACTTGTTCACCAACAGGTACACCTTTGTGCAGGTAGTAAACTTGTTCATCAACGAGTACAACTTTGTACATGTAGGATACTTGTTCATCAACAAGTACATCTTTGTACAGATAGGATACTTGTTCACCAACAGGTACACCTTTGTACAGATTGGGTGCGGGTCATGAAAGGGTATACCTTTATTTAGAGGGGATTCTTGTAATCAAAGAAACCATGTTTGTGCAGGTAGGATACTTGTCATCAATGAGAACATCTTTGTGCAGGTAGGAGTGAGTGAGGTACATGTACCTGTCTTGTTTCAGAAAAACGATATTGATGAGAGCGTCATGCATGTTTCCTACAAGGGTGGAGACTTCAAGAGAGCCTACTTTCCCCCTGAGGCCAACTCTAAGGTAATCACATAGTCACTTCTACATGATTGTTTGTTCAAATCTTATGTCCCCCTGATTGTGTTTGTCAGCAACATACCCTTGCTTTTGGGTTCAACGACAATAATAAACATCTAATGCTCATATTTTTATCCCATGTTAAAATGCTGTTCAAATCAAACTTTAAACACATTTACTCTAACGAGTGATCTCATCTGCTACTGTATTTCAACAAGGAAAACATTAGGCCAGACCAATTTTATTTCTTGTTTTACTGATTTTTGTCCTGAGAAAACCTAAAGACAGGAGGGGAAAAAATTAAAATTAAAAAAGTAATATTCCTTTTAAATCCTAAAGGTATTTTACTGTTGGCAATTTATGAAGTGTATATGGGACAAAAAAAAACAATCTAAAAAACTTTTTTTCAAAGTTTATATTTTTGGCCAATAAAACATTAGGATTTTATTTTTTGAGCTGGGAAAATTAATTTTTATTTTTTTCTCTTAGTCTTGAAAAAACACGACCGGCGGATCTGTAAAACAAGAAATAGTGTTGGTCTGGCCTTACTAAGGGATTCTGTTATATTGACATGAAAAACATCAAATCTAACAATCCTTTTTATCTCACTTTTTATGATTGAACAGAACCATACCATAAAATATAGTTCTAGAAATACCATGTCTACAAACATGCAGTTAATTATTCCACTTACTATGTTAATATTTTATTCCAAAACATGTGGTATCTGCAGTCTTAGCATTTTAATCTATTCTGCTCATTGTATTAATAATTTCATATATTATTGGACTTTATTTCATAAGATCACATTTGTTTCTGAAACAGTACTGACTATTATATTCAAGTATACATTATATTCCATAGCATGTATAGAGTATAAAATGAGACGTTGCCATTTTTCATATTCAGTTTTCTAAAAAGTCTTTTCGAAATATAGTATTACTTGTCAGCTAACTGGTAATAGTACCTGCACTATTATCAAAAACGATCTGTTTCCCCTGGGATGGCATAAACTGATTGATCCGGGTTAGAATTCAGTAAGATCAATTGATCATCAAGATTGTAAGAGGCGACTAGCAGGATCGGGTGGACTTGTTGACACATCATCGTATCCCAACTGCAGAGGTACAGATAAGCTGCGTATCTGCGTAAATTACGCAAACATTTATGTGAAAACTCAATTCTTACCAAGCCTGTTGCGTACAAGTACGCTTGATTTTTTGTAAATACTCAATATATTTGATCTTACATGCGTACACACAAAAATGTCAAATCTTTGTTTGCGTACAGGTGCATAGATAAAATAACTGAGGTACATTGAGAGGTTCTATTTCAACACATGAACTTGGCAACTTGCAGTCTTTCTTATAGTTTCTCATATTACAGATCCAATATAAATAACATTTAAACGTCATTATATTTTTACAATTAATGGAAAATGACGAAATACCCAATTGAGTTTGAATGAGGTGGGTACAATTTATTTGGTTACTCAAATTAAAATTAGGATACCCAATTGAGATGAGCACAAGCGAGTACATAACTCAATGACCCAAAATGTTATCTGTAGCTCTGCAACTGTGTAGATCAATGCTGATCCTGTTGATCACTGGATTGTCTGGTCCAGACTTGATTATTTACAGACCACCGCCATATAGATGGAATATTCCTGAGTGTGGCGTAAAACTAAACTCACTCACTCACTCATAAACTGATTGGTCTTCCAGGACTTCCTAATCGTGAATGCAGACGAGGGACAGGTATTCATTGCTGTTAATCACCTGACCAACGCAAACCTCTACCTGTCTGATGCCACTGGACAGTACTATGTATTGACCATCGCTAACTGTGTATTCAAACCTCAAGCAAGCTGGTTCAGCGTTGACATATACGAGGTGAGTTAGATTTACAAACAGTAGCGATTTGATAGTTGGCCTGTTTATTTTATCATTGCATAATCAGTATTATACAATAAAACATTGAATATTGTATTTCTGCTCTGTTTTTTCTCAATAGGTGAAAGGCATATCCGGGACTTACATCGTCAACCAGGTGGCTGAGGATGGCAGTTTCCATACCAAAATCTCTTTTGACAAGGGAGGTAACTGGAATGACATTCCAACTCCCAAATCAGCAAAGACAAAATGTAATGTGAGTTGCCTAAGAATTAATCTTGCTTTGATTTGTTTCATGTACTGTGTTATGTATTCTTTAATCATGTGATCATATTATTGAATATTAGTTACCAACCATTTCATTTTCTACTGGGGCCAGGGCCAAGGACTTTTGTTCCATGTTTGTTTGTGATCACTGCTTCAAGCAATGTATGTATTTCTTTGACAAAAGCAAATGAACGAATGTTTTTCACGGTACTATTTTAGGGGGACACCTGGAGTGTTCAGCGAACAATGTTCAGAGTAGAAAACCTAAGGTGAAAGTTATTTTCAGTATGTTCTTTTTCAAACGTTGTTTTTGAAAAACATCCCAGATCTTCCCCACGGAATATGACGAGATTAGTGCACATGATGTTATTGTTCATTTTATTCATATATGAGAGCTGAGGTGAGGTTAGGTGAAATGGAGTTTAGCACAGCAGATTGTTTGATTGTTAATTATTGGAGGATAATTCAATATGGATTTGTTGACACTATTCCCAATGACTGATCTCGACGAAAAGATGAGCGACGGTTTGGGGTCAGCTTATCTATGGTACATACCACTTTGATACTGATTTGAAGGGTCAAGTTAGGGGGTGTGCTTATCTGTGAGATCAGATTATCTACGGTAATGTATCATACTGTATGGTATGTCATAAAAATGACAAAGTTATCTTGAAATATTTGTGTCTGAAATTAACCAAAAATAAATTATAGTATCCTTTTGACATTTATGATATTGAGTCTCTAGACATTGGTAAGATTAATATTCACACAATGTTTCCTATTTCAACATACTAATGCCATTGTTATACTGACATATTATTCAGTAAGAAATTAAACAGACAGTATTTGAGCAGCAGTGATTTCCTTAACAAAGAGGTTTAGTAAGGATACCTTGCAAGAGTTGTGTCCCCAAGCATCATCAGGATCTGCTGATAATAGGTTCCACGACAGATTCATGCTATGATACCTGGTTGCACCCCACCCCAGGGTTCCTTGCACAATGTGCAGCCTGTGTTACACTGGTCTGTGTTAGGCTGTGATATAAGGAAATACCTGTTCAAAGTGGGGTAGCCTAGTGGTTAAAGGGGGCAGTGGGGTAGCCTAATGGTTAAAGCGTTGGCTCGTCACGCCGAAGACCCGGGTTCGAATCCCCACATGGGTACAATGTGTGAAGCCCATTTCTGGTGTCCCCCGCCGTGATGTTGCTGGAATATTGCTAAAAGCGGCCTAAAACCAAACTCAGTCAGTCAGTCAGTAGTGGTTAAAGAGCCTGCTCTTCACGCCACATGGGTACAATGTGTGAAGCCCATTTCTGGTGTCCCCCGCATGATATTGCTAAAAGGGGCGTAAAACCATACTCACTCACTCACTGTTCTAAGTACTTTTGAGCATAGCTTACCCTGTGTCATTTCTTCAGTAGCATCTGTTTAACATTAACACCATCCATGACTCTCTGTCTCAGACCAGCGACTGCTCAATCCACTTGATGGTCCACAGTCTCTTTGTGATCAGCATCCTGGCAGAGGCCAAGGCACCAGGCATCCTGATGGCTCACGGCAACATTGGCACCAGGCTCCAGGATGGACCAAAATCCGTCTTTGTCAGTCGTGATGGGGGCTGGACCTGGATGCTGGTAAGTGTGGCATGGACAACATTAACTTCACTCTGTATGGGGGGTATTGGCGAGCCTTACTAACATTTTTTGGCTTGTTTTGTATAATGTTAATATTTTCAAGACAGTTGAAAATCACTAATAGTAATAATCATGATGATGATGTCTGTTTCCCTTTGATCCAGACTACACTGGATGCAGGTCAGTACAAGTTCAACATCCTTGACCAGGGCAGTGTACTGACTGCCATAGAAGATGCGTCCATCAACCAGACAGACAACGTGCAGTAAGTCTAAGACATGCTTGTTGCTTTTGGAAGTTTTACATCAGTATTTAGTGTGGTCTGCATCTGCCCAATAATCGGCATGCAAATTTAGCAAGACACATTCTCATAACCACCTGCGGATTGTAAGAGTTAATTAAGAGTTCATTGGGTGGTCAAGATGGCTGCTGAGTAATAATAGTGGAAGGATGGCCATATACTATGGATGATTTTTGTTATCATGGTTATTGTGTGCCTTTGTTTATTCTATCAACTGCTGGGTTATTGGCTATGTCTTCATTACTTAGTCCTTTGTAATAATGATGAACATTGCTGTAACATTGTTGAACATTGTGTAACATTGCTGAATATGGTTTAACATTGCTGTGATATTGCTGCACATTGCTGTAACTTTGTTGAACATGGTGCACATGAAAATGATTTAACATTGCTGAACATCACAGTAGCATTGTGTAACATTGCTGAGCATCGCAGTAACATTGTTTAACATTGTGTAACATTGCTGAGCATCGAGTAACATTGTGTAACATTGCTGTAACTTTGCTGAACATGATTTAACATTGCTGCACATCACAGTAACATTGTGTAACATTGCTGAGCATCGCAGTAACATTGTTTAACATTGTGTAACATTGCTGTAGCTTTGCTGAACATGATTTAACATTGCTGCACATTACAGTAACATTGTGTAACATTGCTGAGCATCGCAGTAACATTGAGTAACATTGTGTAACATTGCTGAGCATCGCAGTAACATTGTTTAACATTGTGTAACATTGCTGTAGCTTTGCTGAACATGATTTAACATTGCTGAACATCGCAGTAACATTGTTTAACATTGTGTAACATTGCTGAGCATCGCAGTAACATTGTGTAACATTGCTGAATATGGTTTAACATTGCTGAACATCGCAGTAGCATTGTTTAACATTGTGTAACATTGCTGAGCATCGCAGTAACATTGCTGTAACATTGCTGAATATGGTTTAACATTGCTGAACACCACAGTAGCATTGATTAACATTGTGTAACATTGCTGAGCATCGCAGTAACATTGTTTAACATTGTGTAACATTGCTGAGCATCGCAGTAACATTGTTTATCATTGTGTAACATTGCTGTAACTTTGCTGAACATGATTTAACATTGCTGCACATTGCAGTAACATTGTTTAACATTGTGTAACATTGCTGAGCATCGCTGTAACATTGCTGTAACATTGCTGAATTATATGTATATATATACATATGGTTTAACGTTGCTGAACATCGAACAGTAACATTGTTGAACATGGTGTAACATTGCTGTGACATTGCTGAACATGGTGTAACATTGCTGTGCCATTGCTGAACATGGTGTAACATTGCTGTGCCATTACTGAACATTGCTGTGATAACTGATGTTGCTGAAATAGTGTAAAGCCTCATTCAATGGTTGCAGCTACTCTCTTGATGAGGGCAAGACATGGCAGACTGAGAAGTTCCTGTCGGGGAAGAAGATCCGAGTTGATGGGGTTCTTAATGAGCCAGGCATCACCTCTCTCATTGCAAGGTTGGGAGACATAGGAATCATAATCATGTACTTAAAATTCCAATAGAAGTGACACTGGAATTTGCTTTGTATTCAATGCCCTATCTATATTCATATTCAATCTAAATATTCCTCATAATTAGATAACATTGTGGAAAATAATCACACACATATACAGTTTCCATTGTTTCAGTCTTGTGATGTTATTTAAGACATACAGTTCGCTCTACCACCATGAAGTACCATGTAATAAAGCACACATTTCTTCTTATTCTGACTCATGATCTTCTGCTTATCTCCCTTTCCCTTGCGAATGGTAGTGGAACACTTGAATCCCTTGAAGTTCCCGAAGCGGACATAAAAATACACTCACCAACGAGTTACCTCCCTTTTCCCGCATAAACAGTCATGTGACCAGCCTTACTTGTCTCTCTCTCCCTTTTGGCCCAAGTGGATGGTTGGGCGAGCACTGGAGTCCCGTATACGGCATTATATCCTTTTTATTTAGGTCCTATTCTTCAAAATTACGCTGTGTATGGATTTGGCAATAACTACTATGTATTATATGTAAAAAAATTGTAAAAATTATTTGTATTTGTGTCATAATTTCATCGTTATGTAACTTTGTTTACATTTCATGAAATCTTGCAGCGTTTGCAGTGTTATCAAATCTACAATTTAATCAGTATTCGTCTTATATCTATAGACGTGCCATGGATTGGGTGAGGAAGTCATCTCAAGTCACGGCTGATAAAACAGGAGATCAGCCTGCAAACCGTATGTTGCTTGCTACTGCTGAAATTCATAATACTGGTGCTATGTTGAGTACGTTGCAGGGGCAGTCTGCTGGTACAGTTGTTGCTGATAAAAGTCGGTATGAGTACCTGTCCCTTGCGATGCTACACTGGAGCCAGCCTTGCTATAAATAGACAACGCTTAGATGTATGCTGATCAACACAGATCATCTGCGTATATAAGGGGAAGAATGATGTATCATCACTGCAATCAGAGGTTAGCACTTCCAATGAAACGTCCTATCGTTTGGAATATCGTCGGCTCTATGATTATTCATACGAATAACCAAGCGTATCGGCACCTATCTGCAGCATCGAGGTCTACGCAGAGCCGGTTATCTGGACGACAGCATACAGGTTCTTCAAAGTGCCAATCAACTCAGACAGCAGCTGAACTTCACAATTAAGTTGCTCACGCAACTAGGATGGCTAGTGAACCTGATGAAGTTGGAGTTAGAATCAAACAAGATCTTCAATTGCTGGGAATAAGAATTATCACAACACAGAATCGAATTGTGGTCCCAGAAGATCATTGGGTCAAGATACAAGCCATGATTCCACAAGCAGTAATCTCTCCGTTAACACTACGAACAAGGCAATGTCTACTCGGTCTACTAACCTTGGCGCAGGACTTGACTCGCACAGGAAGGTTACAACTAAGGCCACTGCAACGGTTCCTGACAAAACATCTGGACAGCGTCGACCCTATCTTGCTGCCAGACAATCTTAAGAGGTACCTACTTTGGTGGACCCACAGGTCGAACGTCTGCGGAGGGACCTATTTACAAGAGCCGGCCTTCGACACACATCTCTACGTAGACGCATCGATACAAGGTTGGGGTGCACATCTCAACAATCAAGTTGCATCAAGGAAGTGGTCCAAAACAGAGCAGCATCTTCACATCAATCTGCTGGAGATAAAAAAGCTGTGATCAGCGACTTACAACTATGGTCGAGCTTGCTGATCAACAGAATGCTGATGGTCCACACGGACAACTCTACAGTGGCATTCTCCATATATTGGCAAGGATCTACAAGATCACCAAGCCTACTACAGCTCACATTCCAGTTGTTTGACATCACGGAGGAGGCAAACATCTGGATAAAGGCGTGTCACATACCTGGAGCCAAGAACGTGCTTGCAGATGCTCTCTCCCGACCACTGCACCCGTCACCTATGGAATGGATGCTCCATCCAGAAGCATTTCGGCTCATCATAAGGGAAATAGGATCCCCATGCTTAGACCTGTTTACCACAAGGTTCAACAAACAACTACAGACGTTTGTCTTACCAGTTCCAGATCCTCAAGCCTGGGCAACAGATGCACTGAACATATCCTGGGAAGGACTAAACGCTTATGCGTTTCCACCACTGATAATTACTACCGAAAGTACTGTTGAAGATCAAACAGACACAGGCACTACAACTGACCTTGGTCGCGCCATACTGGCCAGCGAGAGTATGGTTCCTAGACCTAATAGAAGATCTCGGAAGTCCAACAATCAAGTTACCAGATTGGCCGAACCTACTCATACATCCGCACACCAAGCAAGTCCACTGGAATTCAACACTGTTCCAGTTACACATGTGGACCGTATCAAAACATGTTTGAAGAATATAGTTGCAGGCAACGATGAGGTCTCCTTGGCTTTACTTTCTAGCTATTGTATCTGAGGGCTAGATATCATCGTCCAAACCGGAGCCAGAACACGTGTTTTGACAGGCGAACGGATCTTCCAAATACAGCCGGTGTCACGGGGGTCATGTACCTTTTAAGAAGTTCCGGAGAAGAAATAGTTCCCTCTTTAAAAGGCTGTATCTCAGTTGTGCTTGGGTCTACGTTCAAAACAATTAGTGTTCTGGAATCACCAGGACATCATCTACCTTACTGGCACTTTTTGGTGCAGAATTTGCACATTTTGGGAGCAAACTACTCAGAAAAGTGCCGAAAAACATGGCCAAAAACTGAAAACAAAAATAATCGCCAAACGGTACGTTTTAGCGACTTGACCGGTCCAGGCAAAATTGTTGGGAATTCGATTGTGCATCTGTACAAGAAATTTGGAAGTGTTGGAACAATTAGTTCTTGAGATATTTGCTGTCAAAGGTTGAAATTTTGGAATTAATTTTGAATTATCTCCCCTTTGCTATTGGGCCAAGAGCCTAGAGATTTTTAAGAGGAATATCTGCACCTCGGTGCTGATCTGTATGATTTTATGTAAGCGATTCGGAGCATTGGTTTAGGAGTTATGTTTGGTACAAAAATCGGCGGAATAATAAATAATAATAATAATAATCCGAACGATTAAAATAGGTCTCCTGCCTAGAGACAAGGAGCCCTAAAAGAGGATACTCCGCCAGATCTACTCGTAACCTGTATGATGACAAGTGGCTGAAGTTTGAGACTTATGCAAGGTGGAAAGGCTTCATTGCTATGAAAGCTACTCATCCTCAAGTGGCGGAATACCTGTGTCATCTCAGACAGACTAGACATCTGAAAGGTTCGACATTATCTACATACCTCGCTGCCATCATTACAGTGATTGCCATGAAAACAGGCATCAAGTTGACGAAAGTACCAGAATTACTTGCTCTGCTGAGATCTTTTAAACTGGAGGACCAGCAAAAGAAGTTCTGAGCTCCGGCCTGGGATCTGAATGTAATTCTATGTATCTTACAAGTGATGCCTACGAACCTCTAGATCAGACTACCTTCGAGCTGCTGACACAGAAGACTCTGTTCCTGCTTGAGCTAGCCATGGCAGCTCGGATATCAGAGATACATACGCTGGACTTTGGTTGAACCAGATTTGACACGGGGCAACATGCTGCAGTTCATCTAGGACTTAGGTGGGACTTCATTGCCAAGAACCAACTACCTGGTCAGCCAGATACAGTTCCATGTACCAGCGCTATCTACAATCCTCGGACTAGAGGATATAGAGAACCTATCCTTGTGTCCGGTCAGAGCCCTGAAGATATATCTTCAAAAGACTAAGACAAGGAGACGAAAATTCAAGCGCCTGTTCATCCCATTATCCACAGAGACATCAGTAGAAGTCTCAAGAACGACCATATCGTTCTGGATGAGAGCCGTCATATTGAGAGCCTATAAAGCAGCAGGACTAAAACCTCCTAGAGCTTCCAACCCACACGAAGTCAGAGCACTGGCGTCAACATTGGCTTTGCACGGAAATTGCTCAGCAATTATGGAGGGCTGCTTTTGGAAGTCTGATACTGAGTTGGAAAATCTCACCCTTTATCACGTTGACTTGTTGATAACTTTTACTAAGGAAAAGTATTAGTTTGAAAGTCCATGCACACAGTCTAGGACAGACTAGCATGAGTACGGGTAAAGATCTTACCTGTACGTGAAGGGGTAGCAACTCATTTATGATAAAGATCTTATCATAATCTATGGGTTGTTATAAGATATCTAGTAATAAGAAGATACTAGTTTATCTGAAGCCATATGAATCAAGATGATTCAACTTGTCTGAGATGGAAGTAAGACAAGAAGTGGTCCCCCCGAGTTATAATGGAAGTTGGAAGAATAGGATCTCAGAAATGCCGCTACGCAGTTCCCATGGGGGGGATACAGGGCGCATCGAAGGACAGCTGATGAATCCAGGAAGTGGCCTGACCCACCACCAATCTGCAGGATTCTATAAGCAAAAGATCGTGAGTCAGGATAAGAAAAAATATGTAATTCTTCAAGTAAAATTGATATTTTGATACTTATCCTGACTCATGAGGTCAAGCCCTCCCGACCTCCCCGCTGGATACACTTCGGATTGCACAGCAGATCCAAGTGCTTGGGCAGAAAAATCAGGAGAGAGTGACAAGTAATGCTGGTCACATGACTGTTTACGCGGGAAAAGGGAGGTAACTTGTGGGTGAGTGTATTTTTACATCCGCTTCGGGAACTTCAAGGGATTCAAGTGTTCCACTACCATTCGCAAGGGAAAGGAAGATAAGCAAAACATCATGGGTCAGGATAAGTATAAAAATATCAGTTTTACTTGAAAAATTACATTTTCGCCCTGAACATTATAATAGTTCAGGGAGAAAGTGTGCTTTCTTACACTATACATGGTGGCAGAGCGATCTGTATTTCTTTTCTAAGATTCCAAGTTTAATACTTTCTAAGGATAATTACAATTAATCTAAGGCAGAAAACAAACGACAGTGTTGGTGACCTAAATTAAGAATCCTTGCACAGGGCTAACTGACGCGCTGTTCTATTGGCATGTCTGCCCCCTATGTTAAGACGAACGTTACCAGCAAAACAAATGATAAACAGTTTGATGACGGTTTACGTCAGGGTAAATATATTTTCTAAATTATTATAATAATGTATATAGCGTTCATTCTGTCCGTCCGTCCCGAAACTTTGTCCGGACCATATCTCTTAAAGTTTACATGCTAGGTTCACCAAACTTCACACACATAGTAATCATTACCCATTTATGTGCCTTTTGCTATTTTAATTTTTTTTCAGAATTTAGTTTTTTTGCTGTTTCCATGGAAACATGATTTAGGCTGTGACTATGAGGATGTCATCTTGTCCGAGCAGATCTTCCAAACTATACATGCTAGCTTCATCAAACTTGGTACACATATCAAGCATGATCCCTAGATGTGCCTTTTGGGGTAGATCCAGATATGAATTGTATTTTTGCTGTTTCCATGGAAACACCGACTTAGTGCCAAATATGTTCGATTATTTTGTCCAGAGCATATCTCTTAAAGTTTACATGCTAGGTTCACCAAACTTCACACACATGTTAATCATTACCCATTGATGTGCCTTTTGCTATTTCAAAGTTTTTCAGAATTTAGTTTTTGCTGTTTCCATGGAAACACGACTTAGGCTGTGACTATGAAGATGTCATCTTGTCCGAGCAGATCTTCCAAACCATACATGCTAGCTTCATCAAACTTGTACATATATCAAGCATGATCCCTAGATGTGCCTTTGGGGTTTACATCCAGATATGAATTGTATTTTTGCTGTTTCCATGGAAACACTAATTTTAGTGCCAAATGTGTTTGATTATTTTGTCCAGAGCATATCTCTTAAAGTTTACATGCTAGGTTCATGCTAGGTACATGCAAAATGTATTTGATGGTGACCTGACCACGGCATATCATCGCAACTATACATGCTAGGTTCACCAAACTTAATACACAAGTTAATCATGACCCACAGATATGCCATGTGCTAAAAAATAGCAATCTTCATCTACGTCCATTGTGTGCAACATGACACACTCAAGTTCAATTACATGTCAGGTTTCCACAGAAAACACAAAAAAATCTAGTTTCCATAAATTATTACCGTAATCAGTACATGCCAAAACTATTATCTAACATTTATATAAAGTTTAGTAGAGTCAAAGAGAAAGTCTTGTGAGCTGCTGATCCTTGTCACATTATATATATCAATATCAGTCATTTCCATGTCCCAAAGTGGGAAGCGGGGGTATGTGAGCTTTGCTCACTTCTACACTTGTTTTATTTGCATCTGTGATTAACGTAAACCATATGGGGCAATATGAACGTTGCATTTCTACTACCAACGTAAGTTTAGATCAGTACATCCAGATGAAGCTGACTTGTCAGGCGACATTCCACGATTGCATTGTGGGAATGTAAACATTGCGAACTTTACCATGTCACTGTAAATTGTGAGTCAAACTGAGTCATACTGACATGTATCGTGACGTCGGTTACATTGTGAGGTAATGGAAATCTGTTTGTTTACGAGGGGGCAGACTAGAATGGGGCAGTGACGCCAATTCATTGTGACGTAGTTCACAAAGTGCACATTATCGTCTGATAAAGTACTGTCGGTGCCTTTGATCTTTCACCGAAGCATCTTAGAATGTCTATTATTTAAATTTAAGATGATGTAAATCACCGATCTGTAACTAATCTCACACGTCGGGTACTCAGTATTCAAATTTGTACTTATTATCAGTTGTATGTATGCATGTGAACTTATATCTAAGATGAAATTATTCATTGATCCGTACCAGAAGTTGTCCCTGTTTCCATCCACATTAGGTACGGTGAGGTAGCCTAGTGGTTTAAGTGTTCGCTCGTCACGCCGAAGGCCCGGGTTCAGTTCCCCACATGGGTACAATGTGTGAAGCCCATTTCTGGTGTCCTATATTGCTGAATATTGCTAAAAGTGGTGTAAAGCTAAACTCACTCACTCCGTCTCCCTTATGACTAGCTTAGCACACAATTTCTGCACTTCTTGAAAACAGAATTGTGGTGCCAGTTTTTGCTGTTGTTACATTAATAGTGTTGCTATGGTTACATATTTGTTGTTGTAATTGTTACAGTGTTATGTTGCAATTTTAATGATATACAGTGGCGGAGATTTTGATGTTGTGGCTACTGTTTATCTGTTGCTATGGTTACAGTGTATATGGCCATGAGAACAGAAGCAGTGTCTGGACAGTGGTCAAGCTCAACTTCTCATCGGTGTTGACCCAAAAATGTGTGAAGGATAACTACACAACCTGGAGCCCGGCTGACCAGGTGAGGAGGTCATCAAACGGAGTGGCATTCTGAAGGATAGTCAGCTAACCATTCCAGCACTATTGAGCATACAATAGAATGAGAATTGGTTTTCTATGAGTTGTTCATTGGCCAACTTATAGAGAGAGTAGTGTATTCGATGATGTATCATGTTCATATTAAGGTCAAATGACTGCATGCACACTATAGTATTTTTTAATCATTTGCTTGAGTTGTTTAAATGAGGATAGTATAAAACAGATTGTCCACTACTTATTTGCTGGTACAAGGTTCTAGTCAATGATACATTATTGCGATGCAATTTACTATTGACATTATCACTTGAAAATTTACCAAAAATTACTTCTATTTCACAGATGGATACTCAAAAGTGCACTTTGGGGCGCAAAATTGTCTATGAGCGCAGAAAGCAAGATTCTCTGTGTTACAATGGAGCTGATTACAGAAGACCCACAAACACTACGATTTGTCGATGTGAAGATGAGGACTTTGAATGGTAGGTTTCCAATCAGATATCTCACTGCTGTGATGTGATTGACAGTAATTGACAAATAGTATGTATTTTTCCTTATCCTGACTCATGCTAAATGCTCTCTCCTTCTTCATGCGAATGATGGTGGAACACTTGAAATCCCTTGAAGTTCCCTTCCAAATCATCCCTTACCCACGAGTAGTCTCCCTTGCCTCCTTTGGCGCCCGTTTTTGGTCACACGACCAGCTATGTTTGTCACTCTCTCCTTCGCCCTTGAGGGCAGTTGTGAGAGCACCTGGGTCCCTATACGTCACATATCCTTTTCTATTTTGGACCTTTTACATCTAAATGGCAGCTGTATACGGTTTTTGGATTGTATATTATCAAATGTTTTGATATTATGTCTAAATTATACGTTGTTTGCCATGTTTTTCATCTGGTTTACAATTGATGAAAACTTGTATTCGTTGTAGGTACCGGCTGTCTGTGGCTGACCCGCATATATTATGTCCTGATTGCACGACTACATGTTCTTCCAGCTCTCGCTGTAAACATTGTCAGAAACTAACTACTTTTGAATTTAATAACTACCTTTTATCTCTTCATAGACGTGCAAAGGACTGGGTAAGAAGGTATTCACAAGTCAGGTCTGGTAAATCGAGTGATTGCGCTGATAACCGTGTGTTAACTACTGCTGCCGATGTTCATAATTCCAGTGAATTGCTGAGCGTTTTATGAGGGCAGGTTGCTGTTCCAGTGATGAACTCCGTCTCGAATAAGTAGAGATTGTCGTCAACGGAGCTGTCCTCATCAGAAGAAGAGTCTACAGCTCCTATGACTTTGTCGAAGTCTCTTCACAGCTCAACGCAGAAGATGAGATCCTTCACTGCCTATATTGTACCACCGGAAGAAGCAGACGTGTATGATGATCCCCCCGTCAGCAAGAAGACGAAGCCTGCTTCAACAGCTACATCGGCAACTATATCAGCGCAGACATTGACAGAAGACCTTTTATCAACGCAGACATCGGCTACCAGAGATAGCAGCAGCGTCAACTCTTCACAAGTGCAGCGTACCTTAGAAGAGGCCTCAGAAGCATCATCAACCCTGCAGCAGTCTCAACATATGTCGCAGAACTTCAACCCGGGGCTGTTTATGCAACAGTTTACAGATCAGATGATGTCGATGATGGAATGTCGCTTCACGCAGGATGAAGCTGCTACGAAGACCACTACGACGACTACAAGCCTGCGCGAAGGTTCAGCTGCCTCTCCAACGCACCTGGATGAAGAGGAAAGCCTGCGCGAAGGCCCACGCACCTGACGATCTTCAACGTCTGAAGCTAGAAGTCTGGACAACGCTACCAACATCAGCTCAGCCTTAGACGTCCCCAAAGGAGCCTCTAACATTCTCCACACAGAAGCAGATTGAAGCGATCTCCAGAACCCTACAGACGCCGCAGATATGGATCGTAATCACCGTCGGACTTAGACTCACATCGGGAACCTGCGCGCAGGCACTCCACATCACACAGAGGGGAGATTACGTCAATCAGCCTTCATGGAGGCCTAGAGAGATATCGCAAGACTCCAGGAGGAATACATGGTCACACCGGGACCGTTCACCTGCACGCAGATCTACATACAGATCTACATACAGAGACTCACGTCATTATGGATCTTCAGATAGGGAAATGTCCAACTTCACTGTCTGAAGTTAGAAGTCTGGAGAACTCTACTAACGTCAGCTCAGCATAGAAGACCCCTGCGATGACAGTCGCCTTGCGTGAAGGAATATTAGTTATGCAAGCTCTCTTGGATGAAGGCCTGCACGAACGGTTACGTTCGCGAAGATCTTTACCGTCAGAAGTATAAGCAGTTAGAAGCCTGGAGGATTCAACGAATGCCAGCTTAGCGTTAGCAGTTCACGATGGAGCCTCCACGCAGTTTCAGCGTCTCAGCAGGAAAGATTCTAACACAGAAGTAGATCCAGTCGTTCTCCAGGATTCTACAGACTACGCAGATATGGATCTTCCAACTTGGACCTTCATCAACCTGCGCGCAGGCACTCACGGGGAGGATTCTAATCAGAGTCAGCATGTCCCACCGTTCAATGATAGCAGATTTCATACGGAGCCCTTCATGATACATCAGGGTTTGAGATTACAAGATCATCAGTGAATCCCGTAATAGATCTTCAAGATGGAAGATAAGAAGATAACGCAACTGGACACTACAACTAGATGTTGGCTATGTTGGATCAATGCGTGGCTGAAGGAATAGACGCACACCTGAACTAATGATGTCAAATAACATCCGATGAAACACTGAAGATGAATTTTCATCACATGGGCTTACAAGATATCAAGGGGACTGTTAACAGCATTGTCGCAGTTCCTCAGCGAGACATCGGTTACAGTCAACTTTACAGAACACCTGTATAAGATGACAACTGCAGTAAAGTTGAAGAATACAGTCATAACAGACAGGGAACAGTCTGCTTACATCAGTACTACGTGGCGAAGTTTTCTCGCGCTTCCACTCAGCCATCTAGACACGTGTTCACTCGTGTAACTCCAGCACAAGCCGAACAGAGAGGTTACGGACAAGGCCGAGTGTTGAAGAAGAAATCAACGACAGCTGAAGATTCTACGAGGATCATTTACCTGCAACACCGGTGACGTCACATCTGAAATCTGATTGGTCCATGAGAGATAACGCCCTGCGCAGAACTCGGTCACAGTCACATGCCAGGAAGTCGTCTACAGTTGTAAACAACTCTTTCAACGTGGGAAAGGCTCCATTTACAGTCCAGTTACAGCGTGGTTCGACTATCTTCACGGATCATAGAGGACTTCCCCTGTCAGCAGATTTAATATTGGTTATCTGGGGACTTGCAGCGACAAGCATGAGACGGTTTCTGTTCACTGCAGCCAGTCGACTATAAATAGACTTCACATCGATGGCAGTCCCAGTACATCATAGATTTTTGCTGATCTTGAGATGACGTATTATGCATCATCGCTGCACATTGTTCGGATTTTGGTGACAACATCTTCATTACATATTACCGGAAGATTGATGAGACAAGCTTCAAGCCATGATTCCAGAATCAATCATCTCTCTGCTTCCATGACGGAACCAAAACAGGATCTTCAATTCAGGGAATATGGCTCATCACATCACAGGATCACACGGTCGTCCCAGAGGATCGTTGGGTCAAGATACAACATATGATATCTCAAGCAATGCTCTCTCCGTTGACACTACGTGCTTGGCAGCAAAGCATGCTCAGTCTACTCACCTCAGCTCAAGACATGACTCTCCGAGGGAGATTACAGCTGCACCCACTACAAATATTTGTGAACGCCCATCTCGACAGTCTGGATCCGCTACCGGGCAGCCTGAAACCATACCTCCTATGGTGGATTCAGAAGTCGAATATTTGCAGAGGAACCTTTTTGTCAGAGCCGGTTTGCAACACTCATCTCTATGTGGATGCATCACTACAAGGATGGGGTGATCACCTCGACAACGAAGTGGCAGCAGGGAAGTGGTCAAGTCGGGATCAGAGTCTGCACATCAACCTGTTGGAGATGAAAGCAGTGATCAACGCTTTACAACACTGGTCCAGCGTACTAAGGAAAGCAAGGCTCACGGTCAACACGGACAACTCCACAGTAGCGTTCTACATCAACAAACAAGGATCAACAAGATCAACAAGTCTGCTACAACTCAGCTTTCTCCTGTTCAGCATCGTCGACGACCTGAACATCTACATGAAGGCAGGCCACATTCCAGGAGCAAAGAATGTCATAGCAGATGCCCTATCTCGTCCACTACAACCATCCCCGACAGAATGGATGTTACATCCAGAAGTGTTCCGGTTCGTCATACAGACAATAGGATCTCCACTGATAGACCTGTTTGCAACAAAGTTCAACAAACAACTACCAACATTCGTCTCACCGATTCCGGATCCTCAGGCATGGGCAACAGATGCTTTAAGCTTCTCATGGGAAGGACTAAACGCTTATGCGTTTCCACCTTCAGCACTATTACCACAAGTAATACAGAAAATCAAGTAGACGACAACGCTGCAACTGATTTGGGTCGCGCCCTATTGGCCAGCATGGGTATGGTTTCTCTTCCTCATACAAGAACTCGGAAGTCCAACCCTGAAACTACCAGAGTGGTCGAACCTGCTCATCCATCCACACACCAAACAAGCTCACGGGAATCTGGCATTGTTCCAGCTACACGCATGGAGCGTATCCAAGCTTGCCTGAAGACAAGAGGGTACTCCGCCAGAGCAGCGAAAGCAGTAACAGTAGCTCTACGCAGATCAACTCACAACTTGTACGACGACAAGTGGCAGAGATTTGAACAGTATGCAACGAGTAAAGGCTTTACAGCGGTGAAAGCAACCCATCCTTAAGTGGCGGAATACTTGTGTCATTTGCGACAGACACTTAAAAGGTTCAACACTCCCAACGTACCTGGCTGCTTTCAGCACAGTTATACACCATGAAGACGGGTGTCAAGTTGACCAAAGTACCAGAGATACTGGCACTACTACGCTCGTTCAAGTTGGAAGACCAACAAAAGAAATTCAAGGCTCTGCCTGGGATCTCAACGTAGTTCTACAACGTCTCACCAGTGATGCATACGAGCCTCTAGAACGGACATCCTTTGAACTACTGACACAGGAAATGCTGTTTCTGATCGCCCTAGCAACAGCAGCACGGATGTCAGAAATACATGCTCTGGACTTTGAACGAACACAAATTGAAGCAAGACATCGTGACATTGTACACCTTGTACTGAGATGGGACTTTATTGCCAAGAACCAACTGCCCAGCCAGCCTGACAGACAGTTCCACATCCCAGCACTTTCTACAGTCCTTGGGCCACAGGATACACAGGATTTATCCTTATGCCATGTCAGAGCACTGAAAGTCTACCTACAAAGGACAAAAATAAGGAAAATATGAAAAAAAGCTCCCATTCATCCCCTTATCCAATGAGACGCCCATGGAAGTGTCACGGACAACTATATCAGTTTGGATGAGAGCCGTCATACTAAGGGCCTACAAAGCAGCAGGACTTGAGCCTCCACGAGCCTCCAATCCCCACGAAGTCAGAGCCTTGGCATCAACACTTGCTCTGCATGGAATCTGCTCGATTACAACAATAACCGAGGGCTGCTTTTGGAAATCAGACACAGTGTTTGCCAAGCACTACCTCAGAGACATTGCCACCGAAGACTTTCCAACCACTACCTCAGAGACATTGCCACCGAAGACGTCTCAGGCATTCACCAGTTTGGGCCACTTGTTGTAGCACAACAACTAATGGTTCCACAAAGGCGCTGAGAAAAATCTCACCCTTTTATCACGTGACTTGTGAAAACCAACGCTCTGGAGAGCAAATGGTTAAAGTCCATGCACACGTCTAGGACAGACTAGCATGAGTGATAGACCCTGTACTTGTATAGGACTTACTCGTACATGAAGAAGGGTCGCATCTCCACTTGATGCGCTCATCCAGAGATGGAGTTGCAATAGATAAATAATGGAATATTAGTATATCTAAAATCCACACGAAAATGTCAGGAGAAGTTTCGGAAGAAATCTGACAAGTTGTGGTTCCCCCCAGACTCATCAGATGGAAGTTGGCCTGACCCACCACCGATTCCGACGGATTCTGCAAGCATTTAGCATGAGTCAGGATAAGGAAAAATGTGTAATTTTCTGACTAAAATTGATACTTATCCTGACTCATGAGGTCAGCCCTCCCAACCTCCCCTCTCAGGGCACTCTGGATTTCCCTGTAAATCCGGGTTTCGGGCGTACAAACGGAGAGAGTGACAAACATTGCTGGTCATGTGACCAAAAAGGGAGCCAAAGGAGGCAAGGGAGACTACTCGTGGGTGAGTGATGATTTTACGTCCGCTTTTTAGAAGGGAACTTCAAGGAATTTCAAGTGTTCCACTATCATTCGCAAGAAGAAGGAGACAATCATTTAGCATGAGTCAGGATAAGTATAAAATATCAGTTTTAGTCAGAAAGTTCAGGTCATACTGCTGAGGATTTTGAAAGTTTCTAAGTGCTAGACAAACTACTATTATTATTCAGGGAGTCTTTTCAAAGGTGGAAGGACCCTGTATTCTTGTAGGCATATAGAATAGGTTCCCAGTAAGGAGATAACTCCAGTCCTGGTGGTCTAACTTTGTTGATTGTGTTACATCAGACCCAAAAGCAGGGGATTTTGCTTACAACATCAACCACCAGTTTGTCTTGTCCACAATTGGTTGTTTACCTGGAATATCTTATCCATAAAGGAATGCTCTGCATAGAATTTCACACAAATGTAATCCGCAAGACAACCATGTCTGTCTAACCTTATGCTGCCTTGTCATGCCTGTTGCTATACAATGGTCATTGATGTGCTCATTTTTTACACCACCTTGTTAATATTTTTGTTTGTCAAGATCCAAATCGAATCTAACGTGAGGTAATACATAGATGACTCTGTGAGGAGAGGTTTGAAGTGAGTAAGCATGTGGTGTTTGTTCTCCAGTGACTATGGATACACCCGAAGCAAAGGCAACTGCATTAAGGCGGGATGGTTTACCGAGGAAAGCATCATCAACGAGTGCGAGGAAGGAAAGAAGTTTGACCGCAGTAAAGGGTAAACATTGTGCAGTCCTTACTTAGTGTCACTGCCTCTGTGGTGTAGTGGTTAGAGCGTCCGCCTGGAGAGCGGAAGGTCGCAGGTTCCATCCCTGGCTGCGTCATACCAAAAAACGTTAAAATATGGTACTTGTTGTGCCCTGCCTTGCGCTCGGCATTAATTTGTAAAACAAGGACTGGTCGGCTCGGAGTCAGTACAATGTGTCTGAGTGGGATATTCATGCTTCACTGCGGCATGGTATCTCAGTGAGCTAGCACTGACTAGTACAAGCAGCCACACATACACACGCATGCACGTTGTCATATAAGCAAAATATTCTCAAGTACGACATTACACCCAGTTTCACCTCACCTCACCTTACTTTGCGTCATGACATTGTGTCTTGTAGAACAATGTGAATACTCAAGACTTTGAATTGTTGTGGGTGAGGTTATAAGCATAGCTTTGACGCCTGGGAACACTAGCAGTCATCTACCATTTAGGACAACACAGTTTATAGTGCAAACGTTTTTGTCATGGACGAATTACCAGCACAGATGGGAGGGTCATATTTTATAACTGTATGATTGTAATGCTTTAGTCCCTAGCCCTATATCTGTGCTCTTTTGTTTGCTAGGCTTGTATATATCTGACCTAGGCTGTCCTTTCACATTAAGCCGTCATTTAGTTGCAATACATTGCATATTTCTGGCATAAATTTTTAGATACTTCATTCTGACTGGTCAGAGGTTTCAAATCACATTCACTACCTCAGATTGATACAGATATAATTGATAGAAAAATACATCTATTTGAAGAATTGTTCACATTCATTTTGAAATACTATTTGTACAATTACAACTGATTTACCCATATTTATACACAAGAATTGGATTTTGCCAGGTTTGATTCGCCCTCTCCCTTACAGGGTAGGTACAGAATGTAGTTTGCCAGGTTTGATTCGCCCTCTCACAGGGTACTACCCTTACAGGGGTAGGTACAGAATGTAGTTTGCCAGGTTTGATTGAAGCCCTCTCCCTTACCCTTACAGGGTAGGTACAGAATGTAGTTTGCCAGGTTTGATTCGCCCTCTCCCTTACAGGGTAGGTACAGAATGTAGTTTGCCAGGTTTGATTCGCCCTCTCCCTTACAGGGTAGGTACAGAATGTAGTTTGCCAGGTTTGATTCGCCCTCTCCCTTACAGGGTAGGTACAGAATGTAGTTTGCCAGGTTTGATTCGCCCTCTCCCTTACAGGGTAGGTACAGAATGTAGTTTGCCAGGTTTGATTCGCCCTCTCCCTTACAGGGTAGGTACAGAATGTAGTTTGCCAGGTTTGATTCGCCCTCTCCCTTACAGGGTAGGTACAGAATGTAGTTTGCCAGGTTTGATTCGCCCTCTCCCTTACAGGGTAGGTACAGAATGTAGTTTGCCAGGTTTGATTCGCCCTCTCCCTTACAGGGTAGGTACAGAATGTAGTGTTGTGGTTGCTTGTTCACAATATTCAAGATACAAATGGCAACACATTTTGGCAGAAAACAAATAGATTGGTTACTGTTTTTGGAGACTTTAGAGACCACAGAGAGCTCTGAATATCATGCCTTCATAATACTGACATGTATCATCGCCTCACTCACTAATACATCTGGGATAATGCTTAACCCTTTCTCTTTTCACTGGCACAGATACCGCAAGATTGCTTCGGATGCATGTACAGGTGGCAAGGCTGATGATGACAAGTACAAGTCTAAGACAGATATATGTCCAACTATTAAACCAGGGGATCTGGAGATTCAGACAGATGAGGCCATCGCAGCCACAAACACAGATGTAGAGTTCAGGCTGATACAACCGAAGGTGAGTGGTGGCATCAGCTCTTAAAATGCTGCCACCTGTGAAGATCCGGGGTAGAATAGATCTTCAGCAACCCATGCTTGCCACAAAATACGATTATGCTTGTCGTAAGAGGCAACTAACAGGATTGGGTGGTCAGGCTCGCTGTCACCACTGTCACCAAATTCAAACGGCACATAACCAAAACAAAACCAACATTATTTTCAACTAAATTAAAACCTCATCCTCCTTTCTTTATGTTCAGCGTCACCCAAAACAATATTTTATGTGTTTGCCGACTGGAAGTGCAGACAAGATTTGCTTAGAAATCCGTTCGTGATCGTTTGTTGGCATCCTCAGGGGTCTAAGGTGTCGACGAAGTATGCGTGGACGCTCAATGATGGATCCCAACCGGTCAACAGGACAAGTCTCAAGAACAGCTCTGTGACACACAGGTTCTCTAAACAAGGAGTTAAAAACATCACAGTCACAGCCACCAATGTTAAGGGCAGTGTCACCGCATCACTGGAGTTCAGAGTTGAAGGTTAGTAAACATTTCTTGATAAGACAAGTGAACCGCAGTATGTCAGTATTTGCTTTCCTTGCAGTTTTCAGCTGAGGATGACAGTATAGTTAAGCAGAGATTCCAACCATTACGATTTTGGTGTAATACAGGTACTTAACATTTTCAGTTCACACCTGAGGATAAATCTGCTGATTTGTTTCACAGAGTATTCACTAGAAATATCTAGAAACAGAGGGAAATACAACAAACGGATGATGATCAACTGTTTTTAAGTCAATAATCCCTAAAGGTTTAATTGATAAGCCCACAACGCTGTTACCAAGTTTATCATATTTTTATTATGTTGTCGACCCAAAGGACAGGAGTTCTCTACAAAATGGAAAATGGTGACGGGGAATAACATTAACATCACACGTAACCTTGTACTTGTTCATTTATCGTAAAATTTACCATTGCAGTAACAGTTTAATACAGACTGTAATTGATAATATGTCTTTTGTGTGCACAGCTTGTTATTTATGTTTGTGACCCGTGAAGATCAGGGTTAGAATTGATCTTCAGTAACCCATGCCAGGTGACTAATGGGATCGGGTGGTCAGACTTACTGACTTGGTTGACACATGTCATTGTATCCCAATTGTGTAGATCGATGCTCATGCTGTTGATCACTGGATTGTCTGGTCCAGGCTCGATAATTACAGACTGCCGCCATATAGCTGGAAAATTGCGTAGTGTGGCGTAAAGCTAAACTCACTAACTATTTATGTTTGCACACTCTTTTTCCCCCATTTATTATACATAAACATGTTGCAATTATTGTAAAATAGTTGAGATATGTTTGTTTACCTCTGTGGCTCTAGACATGCAGATATACTACTGTGAAAAGCCATGATATTGCTGATTTCAGCCGGAGAGAGTAGTAATTAATTTGTTCTCTTTCAACAGATAAGATCAGCACCACAAATGTTGAAGTTCCAACAGCAACAAAGGTGAATCACTTGACTCACTTTGAAATTGATATTTCTGGACCTCTGGTAACCAACAAGCAGACACATATCCACTTCCTGTGGACTTTTGGTGATGAGGTGAGTCATCCCTTTTTCGCTTCGCATGGTGACAACTGCTCCCCAAAATCAGGGGTTCAAAAATCCCATCGCCCGACGCCCGGGACAAGTCAGTTTTCATTTCGGGCAATCAAATAATGGTATCTTACTTGTCCATGGGCTACTAGATAATTTCCACTTATGGTTTCAAACTGCAAATAAACTTGGATTTAATTTCATATCTGCTCAAAATGTAGCTATTAAATTTTGCAATGATAATAAAGTAGAGTTATCTTTCTTTGCTATTTATCACTTTTCAATAAATAGTTCAGTAAACATTAACATCAAATACCATGTTGATTTATTCTTTCATAATTACATCATCATGATTATGTCATAAAATCAGGGCAAGTGGAAAATTAGTCAGGACAAGTTACTTTCTTAAAGTCAAGAACGTGGCAAGTGGCAAGTGGCTTTTTTAAACAAATTTTGAACCCCTGAAAATATGAAAACACATGATGGATCAGGTCATTGACTTCCTTGAAAGAGTGTCATTGTAGTAGGGCCTGTAAGTCTCGCTTCTGAGGCGTTACTTCCGGTACTAAGCTTGTTCCCTTTGCGCACACCAACTTGCAATGTGCGAGACGGTACCAGATTTCCGGTGACAAGTGTACATTCACAAACCAGTTCTGGAGCGACTGCCAATTATGACTTTACTAGACCGGACCAAGTGTACAACCATGTCTGGCTGTCACAGCTGTTGACAGTCGTAATAGTTGGCTAATTTGGGGATGGTTGAACAGGGGAAAGAAACCTTTCCAAATTTCCCACTAGACCACAGGACCAGTAAGTGGACAATAATTACTGGTCCTGTCTGTACTTCACTGGTCCAAAATAACATTCGTACATTTACCTGACTATCAATACAAAATTCACTTCCCACCAGGACCACTGCAAACATTTAAGGTCCTGATGAATTTTTTACTGGCCAGGGACCACAGGACCAGCGTAAATATTGTGCACTGGTGGTTAGATCGGAAATTTGTTATTCCTGCAAGGATTAGTGGTTCCTTACTGTCAAATGACAACCATGAAACCATTCAAAAAGGTGTGATACGCTGTATGTCACCGGAAGTATTAAGGTCTCACGTAATGTTTATAGATGTATTGTTGACTGGATTGTTTAGGTGCTGCTGATACACAGCTGGAATATTGCTAATTCTAGCACGACATTGTGTGATACTCGATTCTGATTGGCTAATAGCTCATCAAAACCGTACTTAAATGGCTGTTTAAGACCGCTAATTAAAGTGACCGATTCACCGTGTATGAATACAACGAACTCGTTGACCCTATTGTTTGTAAACAAACATGTCGGACATCGGCAATTTCTATCTCGGCAGCATCTTTGGTGTTTTTGAAGTAAAAAGCAAATGGTTTGAAGAAGAATTTCTTGACCCTAATCCCAGTGAAGAAACTACGAAGCTGGAAAATCCGTCAGCAGCGCAGCAAAAGCGACAGTATATTCAAACTGGGTCCAGATCTACGTGTGTTGACGTTGACAACACACGTCGGCCCACACGTCCTAACCTGACCGCTTCCGTCCCGGCCATAATGCCCAGTCCTTCCACTTCCAATGTCCATGCTAACGCATTCGGTTTTTAAATTACATTTAGCGGTCTTAAATCAACGATAAAGGACCGCAAAATTGAAAACAGAGTAGCTTTATCTTCTAATTCTGACACCAGCAAGTCCTACCCATAACATAGATGTAGATTGTGAGGATGGTTACAGTGAAGTTCAAGCCTGACAGCACACCACTTCTGTACTTTCTATCAAAGACTAGTTAGTCAATATTTCCTGCTGTGATAACAATAAAAGTACATTCATTTCTTTCTCAGCATTTCTTTCAACTTTCCTGTATAAAGAACTGATAACATCTAAATGTCAGCAATTTATAAACCATTAACGATGTTGAGCACCTCATGCTACATGACTACTGTAGGTTGGAGATGCAAGGCCACTCTTGTCATGGGACAAACGTGTCCAGCATTCGTACAGCAGACGTGGAAACTACACTGTGACCGTGGAAGCCATCAACTCAGTGGGCACTGTGTACAAGCGCTTCAACGTACAGGTGTTCGGTAAGTCAACACTTTCCACAGATTTGCAGGAACATTTTAGACCACAGACACAGATATTTGGCCCCAATTGTCTCAAGCTGAAATTACATGTTTCCCAAATGATGTTGTTGTATTTAAATGTAGCACCTTTTTAGAGGTGACTATTGCTTTACTGATAACAGGATCAATGAGATCGATGAGGCTTTGTACTGAGATTACAGTAAAGCATTTGATGTATTAGTTTATACAGCTCAGTGAAGGAAAGAAGAGCATAAACTAAAGAATTCATCCCCAGTTTGGCTACCAATTACTTTTGAATCCAGGACATGTGTGAGTGAGTTTAGTTTTACTCAACTCTAAGCAATATGCCAGCTGTATGGTGGTTGTCTGTAAATCCAGCACATGAGATGATCTGTTTGATAGTAAAATAAATGTAAGTTTTGTCAACATCACTGTGTCAGACTTCAGTTGGACTTAAGGTTGTCTCATAGTCAAGAACCCATGAAGGTCCGGGTTAGAATTGATCTTCAGTAACCCATGCTTGTCGTAAGAGGCCACTAACGGGATCGGGTGGTCAGGCTCTCTGACTTGGTTGACACATATCATCAGTTCCCCATTGCGCATATCAGTGCTCATGCTGTTGATCACTGGATTGTCTGGTCCAGACTTCGATTATTTACAGACCGCCGCCATATAGCTGGAATATTGCTGTGTGCAGCGTAAAACTAAACTCACACACTCACTCACTCACTCACTCTCAAGTCAAGTCAAGGCTTGGTCCATGCATATTCCTCATGTAATCATCCTTTGTGTTGAACCTCTGATAACTGTGACAAGCGAGACACCCTTGCAAAGAACGCTAAGACATCAGTAATGCATGATGTAACTTGAATGTGACGATTTAACATCCCGATTCAGTAATTGGGACTGAAAAAAAGTACCTAAAAATGTCTTGATAAAATCCCTGGCATATTTGTAACTTTTATGTTCCAGCTGATGTCATCAATGGAATATTTGTAAATATTTTTGTAGGCAAACGCTTAGTCGCTGAAAATATATGATTTTGAAAGAAACAAACAATTCATTTTAAGTTAAAGTTTAGAGGAAAGTCTAGACTTGTTTCATTTGGGGCTTGCATTGCAGAGAGGGCTGGGTTGAGGGAACATAATGTAGTCACGGGACAGAGTAACACTTTTTACTGAAAGCGCTGAAACTAAACTTCACTTTGCACTTAAACCTTTGCCCAATAAATGAAAACATAGATTTGTTTAGCATTTTCAGATTTGACAGCCTGATTAGGCTGCCATGCCCCCAAAATCATGATGAAATCTAAACGAGATTCGTAGTATACAGGTATTTGACGTATTGTTTTTACAGACAAGGCTACCATCGTCCGTCTCAGTTTCTCACCAAATGCAGAAAGGTTGCAGTTTGACAAAAATGTCCACAGCAAGATATTGTTTGTACAGTTGCTCAGGCATGTTCTGTCTAGGGTAAGTAGTGGAAGCTGGCATTTCAACTGTTTGTTTGTTTGGTGTTATGCACTGCACTCAGCAATGTTCCACTTACGTGGCGGCAGACTGTTGATAATCAAGTCTGGACCAGACAATCCAGTGATCAACGTATAACATTTAGTGCTAATGTTCCTCAGCAAATTTTAAATGTTGCCACATCAGCTCTAAATCTTAGATATATTATTATTTATTCATCATTTATCTTTACCTCATATATTGGGCATTGTTGTGGTCTTATGTTCTGTTGTTCTACTTTTGTTCTATTGTATGTGTTTTCAATGTAAAGCAAATTGAATGGTGTTTCGAAGTAGCAGGACATTGGGTCCAATAAGTTTCAGATGTCTGTCTGACCCATTGAAAATTCACAGGACACACAGAATAAACTTAGACACACATTTCAGATTTAACATTTCTTATAACTGGCATTGAATTTATTAACAAACACATGATTTATAAACAGCAAACAAGTGTCACATGTGACATGTAACAACTTCAGTCAAAGTCATTGTGAAATATACAGTCAGACAATGGGGAGGGCGGACCATTGGCAAATCTGCCGGATTTGTCAGAGGGTCAGATGCTATTCGTGAACACTGGCTTTTAAGGGCCAAGTTAAAATCTCATCTTACCTATCTTACCTCGGCTTATCTATGGTAGTATACAGTAACTTTGGTCATAGGATGTTAATAAAAGTGTTTTTCAAGATTCTGGCATACAGTCCTCCAATCTCGACATCAGGTGCAACCACCACCGACTGCAATAACACGTCGTTACAGCTCTCTTACCACTGACTGTGTCTTATCATCCTATTTCAGACATGCGGTCAAGGTGCCAACCGACTGGTTGTCCAGATCCACAGCACCAACCCAGTGCTTGCCGATGTCCTCCTTGTCCCCTCTCAGGACCCAGGGGACATGTCCACAGCTGATGTGAGAACCAGTAACTCACTGTATATCTTCATAGAAAAATGCCCTTTTTAGAGAATCATGCTCTGACATTTTGTAGGGATGAATGTAAATAACTTTCATTTTACATCCTGTTATTTTTTTTATTTTTTTTTAGGGAAGTTAACATGATATACTGATTTTTCACGGGAAAGAGTTCTGTGGATATACAACTTCTTTACTAGTAGTGTAAGCAACGTGTGGGTGTATGGTTCACATGAATTGTAAGTCATGTCTTACACACAGTATGTGGCATCCCATGGGTGCAGTATAATGCAGGGATTAAGGAGGCAACACACCGATCCAGCATAAGTCCTGGTAATAAGGCCAGTATAGAGTTTGCGCACTACTGGGAGCTATTGATTGTGTTTCAGTTTGTGTCAAGGATACAGATGGCTGCTAGCAGCAAGACCATTATCCTCCAGATGGATGGAAAATCTGACAGGAGTAAATTCATCTATGTCCTAGGAGCCCAGGTTGTCAATGGTAGGTAGAAGCAACATGGTTGGTTTACGTGGCTGCTGACATTTTACATGAACTTCATTTGGAATCTTTTTTTTGTGTTGTGTGGGTTCTTGGTAAATACTGTTCCTTAGACTAAAGTCTTGACCTTATGTAGACCCTGTCCTCACACAGAATCTATTTTCGCAGACCCTGTCCTCAAACAGACCCAAACATAACAGACCATGTCCTCAAAAACAGACACTGACATCACAGACCCTGCCTTCACACAGACCCTGTCCTCACACAGACCCTGTCGTCACAGACCGTCCTCACACAGACCCTATCGTCGCAGACCCTGTCCTCACACAGACCCTATCGTCGCAGACCCTGTCCTCACGCATATCCTATCATCACAGACTTTGTCCTCAAACAGACCCAAACATAACAGACTGTCCTCACACAGACCCTATCATCGCAGACTCTGTGCTCACACTCTCTGTATTGATAAAAACACACACACCCTGTTTCCACGAACACTTTATGTTAAATTCTTTGTCTCCACACACACCCAAATCTCACACACCTTCTCCTCATGAACAGCCAGATCTCACACACCCTGTCATCATGAACACCCAGATCTCACACACACCCTGTCATCATGAACACCCAGATCTTGCCCACCCAGTCATCATGAACACCCAGATCTCACCCACCCTGTCATCATGAATACACAGATCTCACACACACTTTCTCCTCATGAACACCCAGATCTCACACACCTCCTCATGAACACCCAGATCACACACCCTGTCATCATGAACACCCAGATCTCACCCACCCTGTCATCATGAACACCCAGATCTTATCTACACCCTGTCCTCATGAACACCCAGATCTCACACATCATGAACACCCAGATCTCACACACCCTGTCATATGAACACCCAGATGTCACCCTGTCATCATGAACACCCAGATCTTATATACATCTCATGAACACCCAGATCTCACACACCTCCTCATGAACACCCAGATCTCACACACCCTGTCATCATGAACACCCAGATCTCACACCCAGTCATCATGAACACCCAGATCTCACCCACCCTGTCATCATGAACACCCAGATCTCACCCAGATCTCACACCCAGACTTTCTCCTCATGAACACCCAGATCTCACACATCCTCCTCATGAACACATTGTGAACACCCAGATCTCACCCACCCTGTCATCATGAACACCCAGATCTCACCCACCCTGTCATCTGAACACCCAGATCTCACACACCTTGTCATCATGAACACCCACACCTTGATCTCACCCACCCTGTCATCATCATGAACACCCAGATCTCACCCACCCTGTCATCATGAACACCCAGATCTCACTCACCCTGTCATCATGAACACCCAGATCTCACACACACCCTGTCATCGTGAACACCCAGATCACACACACCCTGTCATCATGAACACCCAGATCTCACACACACCTTGTCATCATGAACACCCAGATCTCACACACACCTTGTCATCGTGAACACCCAGATCACACACACCCTGTCATTGTGAACACCCAGATCTCACACACCCTGATGCACTCTGTCCATGTCTTGATGGGACCACCTCCGTGGTGTAGTGGTTAGAGCGTCCCCGACCGCGTCATACCAAAAGACGTTAAAATATGGTACTTGTTGGTCCCTGCCTGGCGCTCGGCATTAATGAGTACAACAAGGACTGGTCGGCTCAGAGTCAGTATAATGTGTCTGAGTGGGATATTCATGCTTCACTGCGGCGTGGTATCCCAGTGGGCTAGCACTATAAAACCAGCTTAAGTCTGGGCTAGTACAAGCATCCGCACATACACATACACACGCATGCACGTCATCATATGAGCGAAATATTCTCAAGCACGACGTTAAACCCAATTTCACCTCACCTCACCTCACAATGTCTTGATGTAGACTCCCACAACAAACACCCTCTTCTTATTGGATGTAAATACAGTTTTACAACAAATCACTGCAGACTGTCACAATGTCTGCCTACAGACAGCAGCCCAGCAGCGCCAGACAACAAGGGCCCCAATATGCGAGCTGTCTACATTGCCGTGCCTGTATTGCTGGGAGCAGCCCTCGTCACCATCCTTGTCATCGTGTACTACCGAAGGTACCAAAGACATACTTGCTTGAGTTTTGCTTGAGTTGCCAAGCGAAAACAAACTTGTGATGAGTTTGAGATTTACATTCATGTATGCACAGACATGTTAAATATTAGTGAGCGGTCTAGAATGATCACTGCACCACCAATCACTGGCAGTGGTGTCCTGCAGCCATGCCAAGATACATGATTGGTGGTTCCAGTCCGTAATTCTACTAGATTAGGATCCTTAGTTTGTCAACACCATACCTAACATGCTGTGCCAGTAACGCCTGTTGCAGTCACCACAGACAGCAGGACAACCACAGATCTTGACGATCATTAGTTGGTGCCCACAATAAAGGTCTATCGCTGATGACAAATATTTGGTTTTCTGGTTTTCTGGGTACTCTGCCGTATGAACTGTTGCTAGTCATGTGTTATAAGAGATTCCTTCTAGCAACAGAACCAGCAACCTATCTAGTGCTTGACTGTCTTTTGTTGAATCTCTTGTCAATAAGCAGCGGACAATGACAGGACGCAAACTTTGTATGTTTATGAAGATGTAAAAAAAATGGAACTGCCAGTACACAAACATATCAGACTACTTGTCAATGATTGACAGTAGCTATTTGTCCTTCAGCGTGTCATGTAGACATCATAGGATGTGAAAATGCAGATGTAATACTTGAGAGTAGATGAAATTATCAATCCTTCATGTAGTGTTTTATTATCAGTTTCAGTGCCACTCACTTGTTATATGGGGCAGTGGGGTAGCCCAGTGGTTAAAGCGTTAAACGCCGAAGACCCGGGTTCGATTCCCCACATGGGTACAATGTGTGAAGCCCATATCTGGTGTCCCCTGTCGTGATATTCCTGGAATATTGCTAAAAGTGGCATGAGGCCCGTGAAGATCCGGGGTAGAATTGGTCTTCAGCAACCCATGCTTGCCACAAAAGGCGACTATGCTTGTCATAAGAGGCGACTAACGGGATCGGGTGGTCAGGCTCGCTCACTTGTTTGACACATGTCATCGGTTCCCAATTGCGCAGATCAATGCTCATGCTGTTGATCACTGGATTGTCTGGTCCAGACTCGATTATTTACAGACCGCCGCCATATAGCTGAAATATTGCTGAGTGTGGCGAAAACTAAACTCACTCGCTCACTAAAAGTGGCATGAAACCATACACATTCACTCACTCACTTGTTATATACCACTGTGAAACTCAAAAACATGAAGGTGAGCTTCTAAACTGTGGTAATCTGTTTTATGGTATTATGGTCCTACAGAAAGTTCAGTGAAGTACGCCGCTACTCTATCCTGAGACATAGGTCGGACTCAGATGCCTTGTTGGGAGCTGATGAAGATGATGACCCACCACTGGATTTGAACCCAGACTTTGGAAGCAATGACCGTGCTGATGATGAACAGTTGGACCTCGGGACAGGTCAGGGCTTCACTGTAGTTTCCTGAAGTTAGATACTTATGGTATAATCTGTTGCGCAGCCTGTGTGACTTGGTTGATTTGATGTCATTGTTCAACAATGGGGTAGATCTTTGGTTTTCTGTTTACTCTGTCTCCATTGATCACAGGCTGCTGAGATGTTGCCACCTGAAGCATTACACATCCTGCACATGTGGTAACCATGCGAAAACACTCATCACTATTTCCTGGAATGTTCTTTGTACCATCATCATAGAAAGATCATGCTTAAAGCTATTCAAGATGTATGTGCTAGTAATTCTTTGATTCTGTTATTTTAAACAGCATTGCAGATCTGACAAATCATAAAAATGAAATTTTATTCAAAAATGTACATCAGTATATATTCAAATCTAAACGATTCCAGTAGTCTTCTTTCTATACACCTTTTGTATTATTACATTTCCCCTGAACTGTCAATGTTTCTCTGTCTCTATTTCTAATAATTGCTTGTGATGTAATTAGTTATTGTAAATATCTTGGAGAGGGTTTTATAAGTTGTAAGAACTTGTCCCCGATCCTTTTCACATTGTGAATAAAATATTTTTAAACTAAAAAAAGCATTAAACAACATTCAGTCACAACTTGCTTTCATTGAATATGATCAAAATTGTGGAACCGTTTATTGTATTCATTATCATGCTTATATTTCCTTAAAGGTAAACTATTTTGTTCTTATTTCCCCATTTACTCTCTTTATCTATGTCTTGTGATCTGAACCTAGTAAAATGCACTATTTATCTTAAATAAGTCTTGTGCTGCTATTGCAAAACCCAATTGGTATATTGTAACATTCAATCCTGATGTCTTTCTTTTGATTTGGCATAGATTGATTTACTAACTGAATTTCACGAACAGAAATTTAATAATAAAATAATAATAATAATTGGCCTGTATAGTGCCTAGTTTCCATCACAAATGCTAAACGGCACTGCATACAATCTGTGAATCATTTTGTTTAGTGCTAACAATATCTTGAAAATAATAGAATGTTAGACTTTTGGATGCCTTTAGATGTGTGTTTTGGACCGACAGACTGCGGAGGATATTAGATATAATTGTTTAATGAAAATCAAGGGCTAATAAATTGTGATTGTGAGAATGACAGGAATGGAACCATGGGTTAAAGTAGGTAGACTGAAATGAAACACCGGAGACACAGAGGAAATTGGAAACCATCAACATTCCAATCAAACTTGAGTAGTATACACTATGGGGCTACGGGACCAGGTCCCCTCCCAAGGGCTCAAGTTTAAAAATTGAGCCTTTGGGAAGTCCCTAATCCCATAGCCCAATAGTGTATACTACTACTGAAGTGCATGCAAAAGTTGATGAAAATCGGTCAAATAGTTTCTGAAATATTGACTTTTAAGTGAGCATGGGGTCGGTTGGGAAAAAGGCTTGGGTCGCCTCGGGGGTGGTTGCTCCTGCGAGCGCTGTGGGCGGACGAGTCGCAGTGCGTGTGCGTGTGTCTCTCTCGGCTTGGTGTATGGGTGGCTGGCTGGCTACATTTAGCAGAAAAATAGGCATGCAAGACCGATAAAAAATCATGATGAGAAACTATCATCACACAGTGGGTGATGTGTAAGGAACTGTGTCATGAGGTACAATCATCAACTCCTCTCGGACGAATGCTCTCGGCGGCCCGTCTTTCAAGTAGTACAAGTTCGGTTCGCCGTCTTTGATGTCGACCAGCATGTTCATTTGGTGTTTGGACGTTTTATTCTTGAACAGGGCTTCCTTGAATCTGGCGTGCTTGATGTGGTGTTTCACCACGTGTTTTTTCACGCCTTCGTCTTTCGGATTTCGTCGTTGTCGGCTTTCTTGATGGAATACATCTTGGGTCTCAAGCCGACGTACTCGGCGATCGGCGTGCCCGCGCATTCGTCCTTCATCTTGCCGAGCACTTTTTTGTTGACTTGGCTGTGCATAGGGTGATCTTTAGAGTAGTCGCTGGTGTCGTAAAGGTGCATGTGTTTCTTCATGTCCTCGTACACGTCCTCGGTGCGAATTTCCATCATGCCCCAGCGCGCCAAAGAAGCGTCGGACGAAATCGAAAAAAATATTGGTCATGTACTCGAACGAACCCTTGCCCGGTTTTGAATTTCCTCTTAGGGAACTTCGGGAACTTCGGGGTCTAGACAAAGCCTTGAAAAACCTGCGCGGAGAACTAAGAACAACATGGGTAAACTGAATGAAATCGATGAGCAAATTGCTCGCGAGAAAAGAAAACATCATCAAGAAAAGATTATGCAACCTGGAAGACGAGAGACGGACCAGATTGGAAGCCGCCTCCTCCAACCGGGATGCCCCGATCACAAATCAGCCGCGTGCGCGAAACCAACGACCGAGTCTTGAATGAGGACACCACGTTGGCCGACAGGATCCGAATTCTGTTCCGGGAACAAGGGATCACCATCGCCAGCGTTCTCACGGCTTTGGGCTTCATCAGACGGTAGCGAGGTGATGACTGCCTAGACCTGCGTTTCATTCACCTTCAGACAGCTCACACATCGCTACAAGTACGTCCTAACGAGATGGTAGCAAGGCAGCTCGGGGGAACTGCTGAGAGCTGCGTTTCATTTGGCTGAAAACACCTCTCGCCTCGATAACATATAAATAGAACAAGTATACGTTGGACTGTTACTTTTGGACTGTTAGCTTTTTGCTCACTAAAAGTGATTATATCCTAAACAATATGACCGATTTTCGTGAAATTTTGCATGCATCTCGGTAGATGGTTATGCTATAGCAAAACGGCATTGGGAACACTCTCGATGACTTCATTAGATTAATTAAGACTTAATTACGTCAAAAGTTGGACATTTTGCCTTTTCCCGACCGACTCAATGCTCACTTAAAAGTCAATATTTCAGAAACTATTCGACCGATTTTCATCAAATTGTGCATGCACCTCAGTAGTAGTATACACAATGGGGCTATGGGATTAGGGACTTCCCAAGGGCTCAATTTAAAAATTGAGCCCTTGGGGGGACCTGGTCCCGTAGCACCATTGTGTATACTACTAACTTGACTGACCAATCAGAAATCCCTAAGTGACACAGAATCTGTTATTGTGTATAACCAATTCACACCAGTCAAACCTTCATGAAAGTTTCAAATATGTTGTTCAAGTCAACTCTGGCTACTTGTAATTAGAAACTTGTTCTATATTCTCCAATCCAATGAGCTGCAGGAAATATGTATATTCTTTTTTCTTCCCAACTATCATATGTCTGATATCACTCTGCAAAGAGATGATGTCAGTTTTTTATATATCCCTTTGATGATATGGATTGTATCTTTTAAGGCAGCCACCTGGTGATGGTTACTGGCCGTGGAGATGGGGGAGACAACTCTATCAACTGCTGAAGAAGAGATTAATGGGCGATGATGAAGGACATTCCAAAATGATCTGTGATGAAGTAGTTGCATAGATGAAGAACGTCAGGAGGATGAGAGGGCGAATGTGTTGTGTGTGACTGATAGTAATTACTGGATAACCAAACATAGTCCGAATTGTTAAATTGCTTGTTATTTTGAATCCAGGAAGAATGACATCTGATTGTTGCCATGATCACTTAGAAAATGTTTCAATTACTTGTTTACTGCTTAATGTCACACCACTGTCTTGTTAAGAAAAGTGCATAAGATTATTCCCAAGGCTTCTGAAACAAATTGGTTGTTGTATTAAGAAATATAATTAATGGTTGCTATGGTTACATTACAAAGATGTGACAGTTGTATCACTTGATGAATTGAAACAATTGAATTCTAAGATATATTTTGGTCCTGATATGGTAGTTTGGATGTTGAGATTCTGTTGCTTTTTGATACAGTGCTTGTATACCCGAGGGTAATCGTAAGGACTAACACTTATCAGATTTTAGATGTTTCAGCTTTGTTGAAATGTGAATTACCTCCCTTAGATGGCCATGTTTGTATTTCTTCAGTCATGATAAAGGTTGAATGAAACATTAATTGTTTACAGTTTGTTTGTGCAGATGAATATTTTCTGTACAATTACATTTACATTTTCTAGAAACAGGTTGACCTGCAGATTGGGATATTGTCCTTAATGGCCACACACTACTTTGTTTGACACCCACATTGATTAGAAAGCGTATTCCAAAAGTCAAAAGCAATGTGATATCTCAAATAATGTGAAGAGGTCAAGTTAAGATGTTGAATCATTTTAACTGAATCTGGTCCAGATTTTCTGCAAATTTTGAAGTTTAAATCTGTTTAAAGTTTAAAATAATTTACTGAACTTTTTAAAGCATGGTTTTTAAAAAATGTGTCTGAATATTTTGGGAATTTGAAATTTAAGTGATAAATATGACATAAAGTAAAGAAGATGATTTGTAACCTGATGATTTTGATCTTCGCTATTCTACATTACTTCCAATGTGATATTTGTTTGACCATAGGTAATTGGATATTCCATTTCTTAAGAAGAGTATCAGGATATTTTCTGCTTAATAATCTTGTCACAGTCAATCACGTACCTCAAAATTTTCTATTGGGATGAAGAATACCATAACATATGAACATATTTTCTTACAGTTGTACCTATGTGTCACAAATACTATTGTCCATCTGTCATTATTTCTTTGAAGTCAGTTTTGTGTGTAGTGTAGTCTTCGTCAGTACCTATATGAATTCTGTACAACATAACCAAATAATACATACGGTTGTTTTGTTATGTAACAGTGTGTCTGTGTCAAGTCACTTCAATTACATTTGTGACATCATTCTATTGCTTTAGGAGTCCATTATTTATAAGGAATGTATAATTGCTGAAGCAATGGAGTGTAGTTATTTCTGAGCATGTGTTATGTCTTGTGTACATGAAATGCTCAGTGGGGGTGGAGTGTGTTTCTAACCGAATATCCTTATAAAATGTGATTGGTTTTGTGATAATTTTGAAATTTCTGTATCATGGTGTAGGAAATGTATTGTATCTTGTTTTGGTAAACTCACACAAAATGAAATGTATGTAGATGAATATCCTCGTAATGAGGAACAGTGGATACAGACCTGTTTTTATGAAAGACCAGACACGGGGTTGATAGGCCATGATTTAGGGGTTGTTACAACAGGTCACTGAATATATAAGAAATTGATTGTTATACTTGTGTTTCCGTAATGTCTTCTTGTCCACGTGATCAAGACAAACTCTTGATGCACTTTTTGGATGACAACTTCTTTATGTTGCGACATTTCGGTATAGAGTGAAGAAATTTAAACAAGAGTGAAGTACTATCTCAATGCACTTCATCTGTCTAATTAAACCTCAACCGAACATAATCTGACGGTATACAATGTTGCGTTTTCAGAGCATAACTCGTAAACAGTTCAGTATTTCTTAGTGGTATGACATGTGAACGGCAGGTTTATTCCAACTGGATCCCTATGCTGTTTTAAATTTATAAAATTTGTATTTCATTGAGATTCAAATAAAGGTAATTTTTTTCTGAAACAACTTTAAAATTTACATTCTGTACAAATAAACTAAACAATCTTGAAAAGGAGTAAGCACTTGCCAGATGTGTATACAATGTTATCTATATCTGACAGATTTAAATAGGTTCACAAAATCATAAACAATATGTAGTTATATCCCTGTGATAAATTCAGATCTATCATATATAGGTAACATTGTTTTTCTCTTGTATCTACAAATTTCTAGTTGTTTGGATAGCCAGTAGTTGAAGACTTTATTGACAAAATCCTTTAAATTCCACCACTGACTCTAGCACATTCTTGTGCTTTGTTTCTATTGAGTTGAATACTGCATTGGTGCAGTGAGACTGTTCAAATAGACTGGCTCTCAGCTGTCTTGATGCTCCAGGACCTTATGTAAAGATATTGTATATGTATTCTGTTCCAAGAATCTATTTTTAGATGATACTTGTGCTGGTGAGACGCTTTTGTTGACAACTTATATACAGGTACAACACATATGTGAATGTAATATACAGGTAATTTTTAATAACATAAGTACATCTGAAAGGTTAAGATATTATCTCCAGTTAAAATCGTCTTTTGATACAGAATATTCAAAACTGGGAGTTTAGGAGATATTTATGTTTGGTTAGATTAGACGAGTTACCTATTCAAACAACTATTGGTCGTAGGCATGATATAGATAAATGTTTGTGTTTCGATAAGAATTGTAATGATAATGTAGTTGAAGATGGTATACACTTTTTGTTTGTCTGCCCAATGTATAACTGGATAAGGAGTATATATATACCATCTAGATTTTCTGATAAACCTACTTCTTATTGTTATAAGTTACTAGTATGCCGTAAAGATCATGAAATTATTCTAAATGTAGCAAAATATGTTAAATTTGTTTGTGTCTCCACAGTGTATAATCATTGTCACTTTCACTATATCATTGTATCTATGTTCAATGATGTACATGGGCCAATGGCCTAAAAAATGAATAAACCAATACAGAACAGAAATTGTTTTCTTAAGTAAATGAAATATAAATACTGTGTAACTCTAAGCGTTTGCAGAAGGATAGGTTAGTGGTATGTTGTGATGGTAATTAGTGTCGGAGTCAAAGTGAAGGCAGAAAAATTGTGTACTTCCTAACTGTATTACTCACCTTTTTGTGATATTATCATCTTTGTTTTGTGGGATGTTAAATTGTGCAATATGTGAACTATTTACCAAGTAACCAGTGTACCTGTATAACATATATACCTGTGTGTCAACGATCTACCAACCTAACCAGCGTACCTGTATAAAATATATGTCAATTATTTACCAACTAACCAGCCTACCTGTATAAAATATATGTCAATTATTTACCAACTAACCAGCCTACCTGTATAACAGGTCAGTCTCTAGTGTGAAGTTTTGTTTCCTTGTTTAATCTGTATATAAGACAACACTAATTGTTTCGGTTCATGGATTACCTATTATTGCTGGCAGATTGGGATAATCTACTGATAGAAAAATACTTATAAATACATATATGACCATAGATAAGTCGATCTCGTAGATAAGCTGACGTCCTAACTTGACCCATAAAATCAGCATTAAATTGGAACAGGGGTATGTTCCCTACAGAAGCCGAACCACCAACCTTCGTTCAACTCCTCGTCGTGATCAGGCTTCTGAAATAGGGTGTCAACAATCCTTTTTGAATTACACAAGTAAATCCTGTTGTTACACTATCCAGTGATAAACAATGTTGTTATCTGTTCGGCTTATCTACAGTAGTTAATAAAATAATTATATCTGTTATTCAGGAATTGCTTGTTACAGATTACATTTTGGGTGATGGTATGTTTTGTCACTTTCATCAACTGTACAGCTGAATAATTTGAAAACAGTGAAATGAAACAAATAAAATCATGTGTTTTGTTTGTTTTGTTCATGTATGAAGTCTTGTTGACCTCTTGTTTTTACATATCCTTGTCCCTGCACAGGCAATTACATCATTTCCACACGATGCATGCACACACTCTTGTACACACAAACACATTTATTTGCATCCAGTTTCATTTTGTTTTCGTTTTCTTTTGTTTTGCTCATTATTCAGTCTCAAGGAAGCTTTGGACCAATTTTGCCACGTTATCCAAATCACATTCTGCAGTACTTACCAATAAACTACAGGTGAATCTGTTGCAGTTAATTTTTCTTGATTTTTTTTTTCATTATTCACATAGAAAGAATATGTTCTGTTCCTACAGAGATTCCTATTTATTGCTTGTGATGTTAGCATTGTCATATTTTCATTCATACCAATTGGCTATGTGCTGAAATATTTCTGTTCCCATGTAAAATTTAACTCGCTCAATCACTAAGAGAATTTTAAAGCAATTTGTTCAATACTTCTTATTGAAAAGTATTCATACTGACAGACAACCAAACGTCTTATTAGAAATTACAAAGCCATCCGATGATGATGATGATGATGATGATGATGATGATGGTCACTAATGCCGCTACCCTGTTGCCATTCCCAAAGCTCCATTACCTTTGTCATTGAATTGGTTACAGTTTCAAATTTCATTCTCCGTGCCCATAGAATAGGATAATAATTACTGTAATATTTTACACATTGTAATGCTCCACCTGGTTGTGCCATGCGTTCCTTCCATCCATGTAATGGTAGACATTGTCTGTATATTCTCCTGTACATAGTGGCATACTTTCTGTGGATACAACGCTTTGCTATTGATGTTTATTTGGAAAATGGTTTCAAAGTGATGTATCACCTACATTTGACTGCAATTTCTGTTTCATTATTGTGTTATGTTGGTGTGTTTATTTGTTCAGAATGATTTGTTAAATATTTTAATACAATACAGAGATTCCTATCATTTTTCATCCAAAAATTATTAGTAGCTTTCAACTTGATCTGATGTAAAAAAATCTGTACATTTTTATTTGATTGTAATGTCAGCAATCCATGTTTGAGGAAGGTAGCACTAATAGATTGCGATTGCGAGTTTCAAACTGAGACGTTGACATGTTTTAAGATCTGACAACTGTTGTTTCGTACTGTAACTTATAGTGGTATTCTGTAGCCACCTTTATACACGTTGTTGGTAGTAATGAAACTACGATGAAAAGAACATGAGCACCACTAACCCTGGTTCTTCTGCTTCAGTAAGTCAATATTATTATTCAGCCTTTTCCTTAGAGAAAAAAAAATAAAAGTGGGCCTGAGCTTGAAGCCAAGACCTGCATCGTTGTGATACTAGGGTTGGCAGGTCCAAGATTTACCAGTTTTGAACTCGGACCTTGCTCATTGTGGCTGTCGTATAACTGAAACATTAGCATGACCACAGAGTTCAGTCTGTTACAAGTATTTCTATGACTTTACCAGGTTTGTACACATTTACTTACAAGTTTTAACACGGAGATAATGTCACCATTCATTCTGCAAATGTACTATTTTGTTGCCAGTGGAGTTATGACTAGTCATATCTTCCAGCATATCAAAAGATGCTGCATTTTGAAATCTTGCGTAAATAGTTGTTATTAAGTAATGTAAAGAGCTTGTATGTATTGGGTTCCTATAATCCTTAGTTTCATTTCATAATGTTCATGTGCAGTTGACTGAAGTCACATTAACTAGAAGTACATGTACATATATGAAGCAAAATGTTTGGTCATGTCTGTTTTGATTCAGTCTAAAAATTATTCTTATAAACTTTCAGTGAATTTTTAAAAAATCCCATTTTCAGATTTTATAACTGTAGATCGATTGTTGCATTTTCTTTGAATGTAAATTGGAAGTTATCCCAGCTTTTGTTTAAAGAACCTTGTATCATGAACTCAGTCATGTTCATTATTTCATGAACACAATAATCCTCCTATTATCCAAAGGTTCATTGTTTCTGCTCTTAAGCAACATGCAGTATAGAACACAGTATTTGGCATGGCAGTTGAGCATCCTCTTGTGAAGCTAAAGAGCACTGCTGTCACTTTCCGGTCTTCCCCAGAAATGTCAACTTCCTGCAAGTTCTGGACCAGTGTTTCTTTATTCTATTGGATCTGTCAGTGATTCTGCATCGTGTCATTTTTACTGAGGGTGATGAAACACCCTTCTGATTAACCATTTTTTCACGGACACCCTAGGTTTGATGACCAATGTGGCTACAGTGTTTGAAGACCATTGGTGTGTTCTGCTTTGCGATCGCTAGAACAATGCTAAGGGGCACAAAAACATATTCTGTGCAGAGTTGCATCCCTTGGCCTTGCCTGAAACCCATGATTATTGGTTCAAATCATGGTTCGGCCCGATTGTATTTGTGGGTTTCATCAATTGGTAAAGGTCCGAGACCTGCAGCACTTTAAGCTCTGCT